TACAGATTCACCCACCGTCTGCTGCGGCTGCGGGCGGAGGCGCGCACGGAGCCCCCCTCCCTGAAAATCACGGAGCGATATAAGATGCCCCTGGTGTTCGAGCCGGGGACCGGGTGGCTGTACGGGTGTAGTCTGGACTGGGCGGGGGTGGTGGTCAGTCGGCTGCACGGGGGCATCTCCCTGGGCGATTACTTCGTCGAGCATATCTTCAAGCCGCTGGGGCGGGTGGCCCCGTTCCCTCGGTTCAATATCATGCTCCATCCCGAGTATCATGCCCAGATCCTGCAGGGGGCGGTGCGGACACAGGACGGGAAATTGGCGCCGCTGGAGCGCTGGGCGTTCGATAACCCCGAGGACCAGGAGGGCGGGAGCGGGCTGGCGGCCACGACGGGGGATTTCCTGGCTGTGCTCGCGGACCTGGTGTCTGATACGCCCAAGCTGTTGACTCGTGCGGCCGTCGCGGAGATGTTCGTTCCGCAGTTGGAGAAGGGGTCAAATGGCGTGCAGATGCTGCTGGGGCTGCGGCCGGCGTGGGATACCGTTGCGGGCCCGATTGCGGAGGATGCGGTCAACCACGGGCTGGGGGGATTGCTGTGCGTGGGTCCGGTGCCGGAGATAGGACAGCCGGGGGGCATGCTGGCCTGGGGAGGGGCCTCGAATGTCGTGTGGTGGGCGAATCGTGAGAAGGGCGTGGCCGGGTTCTTTGCCACGCAGCAGGCGCCCTTTGGGAATCCGACAGTCACGACGTTGGTGAATGCCTGGAAGAAGGATTTCTGGGCGCAGTTCGATGCTATTGATCTGCCTTGATTGCTTGCCTGCTTTTATAGACTGAATTAGACTGCACTGTTGAGTTTACATGAACAAGCACCCATACTTCTAAACGCGTCTCCCTCGAATGCAATGCTGTCTATTGCGGAATCCGCACGACAAGCTTCTCCCCCCTGACCTCCCCCTTCCTCAACATCTCCAGTCCCTCAATAATTCCCTCCCACCCGCCGCTCAACTCCCGCAACGGATGCGGTTTGATCTCGCGCCGCGCCATCAACCCCTCCACCTCCTTCGCCCACTGCATTCCGATCGCCAGCAACGCCGGATCCCCTGGACGGGTGTACGCCGACTCCCCGAGATTGAGATCAGTACCCAGCACCTGGAACCCCATCACCTCCTTGACGCGGACGGCGCGTCGGGTCCGCCACGCGGCGGGACACTCCTCGAGACAGGCGTAGACGCCACCCGTGCGGGCTAGAAGGCTGTAGCACAGCGCCGTGGAGTCGGCGTCCGTGATGCAGTCGAGTACATACCGGATGGGCTTTCTGGCGAGCGCTTGGATCGTGGCCACGCAGTCTTTGGCCGTGTAGGATGCGGTGCCCTTTGCGCCGTAGGACAGAGCCAGCGGGGCGGATTGTGGGGATGTTATTGCGAGGGGGGTGTAGCCCATTCTTTCTCACGCGTCAGCGTACGCTCGGGTTATAAACTCGCATCAAGGAAATCAAGGAAATCAAGGAAGGAAGAGGGTGGGGAGAAGCACAGGTTAAGCATCTGGCACGCGAACGTCCCGGACGCAGTCGCACCGCCGTACACCACGACCGGTTCGCCGGCTTGATGCACTGGGCGCGATGGCAATCCCTCCAACCCCAACGCGTGCGGATCGCTGAGCGCCAGCGAGATCGTCGACCACGCGACGCCCAGCGCTGCTGCCTCGGTGTCGCTCCAGTGCGAGGGCACCTTCACCAGCAGTCGCGCGTCGACGGTGCAGTACTGCGCGAAGGAGCCGTTGTCGCCCTTATCGGTGGGGTTGTAGGGGAACAAGGCCCCGCACACGCGCGTGCCGACGGGCAGGTCTGGGTGATCTGGGTGGGGGGTCTCGATGATGCCGCTGAGGTCGCAGCCGGCAATGCTGCCGGGTTTGTTGAAGTAGGTGACCATCTTGTGGTCGTTGGGGTTCAGGGCGACGGCCAGGATGCGGACGAGGACATGGTGCGGGGATTGCGGGGAGGGGACTGAGGCAGTTGGGGAGATGGCGAGGGGTAGGCGCGTTGGGTTGTCGCTGCCCTTGGGGGTTTGGACGATGGCGGTTTGTGAGAGGTGTGTCATTCTGAAGGGCAGGAACTGTGGAGGTGGGAGGTGGCTTGCTGGTTGCGTCTGTGTTTTACGTGGTGTATTAAAGGTAGAAGATGAGGGCGAAGAGTTAGGGCTAATCCCGAGGGTCGTCGTCCACTCGGAGGTTTTGTACCACAGTGTCTCCGAATGATCGGCTTTTCCTGCGTCTTTTTATGACCGAAGACCGGAGTATCTTCCGGAGCTGAATGGGACGCACAAAACGAGGCTGTGGCGCGTCGATCATGCACGTTCTGCTGATTTCGCACATAAAGGGCGGCCACCCCGCAACGAGTCTCGTTCGTACCGCATCCCCCCCTGCTGGGAACCATACCATCAACGCAACGCAATGTTTCTCTACTCCGGAATCGCCCTCGGCCTCGTGCTGGCCGTCATCTTCAGGCAATTCAAACCCCATGGAGGCAAGGAACCCCCCTCCCTGTCCGGGTGGATGATCACCAACACCTACCAATACATGACCGACATGCATGGCTTCCTGCAGCGAGTGGCGTCAGTCCCGCCATCATTTCGATGCCAGCATCCATTCACTAACTCCGTCCAGATCCGCCCAGCGCCGCAGCAACATCATCCAGTTCCGCCTCGGCCCCAAGAAGATCTACATGGTCTCGGGCGAGAAGAACATCCAAGCGATCAACACCCCCTCGCACAGCATCAGCCCGGAGGTCTTCTTCCTCGAGGTGATGGCCAACGTCTGGGGCGCCAAACCCACCGAACTGGTGAAATTCCGCCAGGACAAGTCCGGCCGCCGCAAGAACCCCATCCCCGGCCACGAACTCCCTCCCGGCGAGCCGCGTCTCTGGCACGGCCAACACCACATCTACTCGGAGTTCCTGCAGCGCACCGACCGAGCCAACTTCCTGACCACCAAGTACTTCGACCTGTTTTCGGACCGACTCGTCCAGCAGCCCCTGAACGAGTGGCGGGAGGTCCGGCTGTGTGAGTTTTTCGAAAGCGAGATGGCCGAGGCGGCCCTGGAGGCGCTGATGGGCCCGCGCCTCGTCGAGCTCAACCCGGGCTTCTGGCCGATGATGTGGGAGTTTGCGCGCATCGCGCCGCAGCTGATGTGGGGGCTGCCGCGGTGGATGAATCCGGGGCCGTGGAAGACGCAGGCGGACTTCCAGGCCATGTGTCGCCGGTACATCGATGCTGCAGCCACGGCCTTCGACCCAACAGGGCCCGAGGCGGACGCGGAGTGGGAGCCACAGTACGGCTCGCGGATGGCCCGCGAGCTGGTCAAGTGGGCGACGGAGAATCTGTCGCCGGAGACGACGGCGGGCATGGTGGCCACCTTCATCTTCGGGACCAACGCCAACTCCGTCCCCATGTCCACCTGGGCCCTGATGCATCTGGTCGCCGACCCGGCGCTGTACCGCGCAGTGCGCGACGAGTGTCTGGCGGCCAGCACGACCGACCCCGTCACTGGCCAGCGGGGCTTCGATCCCCAGAAGCTGTTCGCCATGCCCTTGCTGCAGTCCGTGTACATCGAGACCCTGCGCCTGCATGTGTCGATCAATGTCACCCGCGAGGTCACCCAGCCCATCACCCTGGACGGGTTCCTCCTGACGCCGGGGTCGTTGATCCAGGCCCCGAGCCAGATCGGCCAGTACAACGAGAGAGTGTGGAGTGCGCCAGGCCATCCGGCGTCGGAGTTCTGGGGCCATCGCAACCTCAAGCGTGAAAGTGAGAAGCCCGAGTTCACGATGACGGGCAAGACGAGTTCCTTCTTTCCATTTGGTAGGTCCCTGCAACAGCTGAAAAGATTTCACCCGGGTTGAGGTTGACGGATATTTATATAGGTGGCGGGCCGTCCATTTGCCCCGGTCGGGTATTCGCCAAGCAGGAGATTCTGATGACAATCGCGGCTCTCGTGACTCGGTTTGAGATCGAGTTGATCGACTGGATCCATCCGGATGGAACCAAGTCAGATCGACCGGCGCAGAACGATCAGTCGCTCATCGGGGCCGTGGGGATTCCGCCGGATCGGGATATGAGGGTGAGGTGGAAGCGGCTGTGGTAGGGGAGTTGGGTATGGACATATGCCAGATCTCGAAGTGAATGAGCTCAATTGCGAAGTACGTGAGATATAGAACTGCTTTCTCTGTGTATCGGTACATCTTAAACAGACCAATTGTGGTTAACAATCATGATGAGCACGATGGGGGTGTGGTGCCCGCTTGCGAATTGTTGTACATATTACACATTATCAGGGTAAACATACAACAAGGCAAGATGGCCGAGCGGTCTAAGGCGCTGCACTCAAGGATTATTCCATTCCTTCTCCAGATCACATCTGAAGAGCATTGCAGTCACGCAAGTGGCGTGGGTTCGAATCCCACTCTTGTCATTCTTTTTTGGTTTTGTTGCTGACCTGCCTGCGTGGTCAACAAAGGCATACATACCTTACCGAGAAGAGCCTAGCGTGTTCTCTGGCCGCATTGTTCATTTTTCCTTTTTGTGCTGGCTGGAATGCCATTGTTTTTATGCACACACCACTTTGTATCCTGGGCCAATTCTCTTCTTGCTGAACACTTTTGCACCACCCTAATACGCATGAAGCTTGCTCCTTCTACCTCTTCTCCTCCTACTTGAGTCAGCTCTTTCTGCTTTGTAAGCCTAAACCTGGAGATATTCACATATCAGTGTTCTATATTATGCTTTTGTACTCTACTGGACTGCATGTAACTCCATGATCGCATTTCACGGGCGACACCTAATCGAAACCAGCCCCCTCACGGTATGGTAGTAGAAGCTACGCAGTGTTTGTGAGGTGTAGAGGTTATCTATATTATTATCATATATAATTAATTAGTCTTATTCTGCCAGGGAGTGATAGCATCCCGTTAGTCATCGCAGCCATCAAGATTAAAAGTGTGACCCGATCATCAGTAGACCCTTTCTTGATCACAGTCAGACAAAACAGTGACTGTGACTGTAGCCAGAACCGTCGACGTCACCAGGTCCTCGTCACCCTCCCCGGAAGGAGTTGGGGGCTCGGTGGTGTGGGGAGGAGCGACCACCGCCACGGATGAGGTCGACGCGGCCGATGGGATCAGCGAGGGTTGAGTGGGGCGTAGGGCTGGAGTGGAGGAGAGAGCACTGCCAGGGGACTGAACGGGGACTGGGATCACCGATGAAGCAGAGACCCGCGCGGGCTGCGAGGGAGCGGAGGATGACTGCTGCGGAACGAGGGCGGAGGATGACCGCGTCAGGGGTGTGGGCGAGCTGAGTTGCGGAGAGGAGAGGGCAGAGGAGCCGGTACTAGGGCTGGGAGCCACGACGGGGGTGGAGCGGGATCGCGAAGGAGCGGAAGCTGGGATGGAGGAGGGAATGGAGGAGGGAATCGATGGGCGAATCGACGAGGGGATTGAAGAAGGAGCTGAAGAAGGAGCTGAAGAAGGAGCTGAAGAAGGAGCTGAAGAAGGAGCCGAAGAAGGAGCCGAAGAAGGAATGACAATCGATGAAGGAACCACAGATGAGGCCGACGCCACACTCGACGGCACCACAGCGGTTGGGGTAACGGTTGAGGACACCGGAGAAGGAGTGGACGAGACGACGGTCGATGTCGCCGAGCTGGTCGGGACCGTCACCGTCACCGTATAAACGGTAGTGGCCTGGCTGGTCACATACTCGGTCAAATACTCAGTCTCCATGGCCGTGACCGTCTCCGTGCATGGGTTGGTGGAGTAAGTACTGAGCGCCTGATAGCCCGAGGCAGAGACCACGGCATTGCCGGTGGCCCACAGGTACTGACAACTGCTCGCCGCCGGGCTGTAATTGACGGCATTACACAAGCCGTTGAAGATGCGACAATACAGTTCACAGCCATTGATATTTGCCTGGCGACTGTAAACGTTCATCACAGCTCGGGTGGTTGCCCCAGTGATGGAGGAGCCGTCACACATCTCACGATAGTAGACACCGGCGGAGGACCATGCATAATCGGAGCATGAAGTGCCGGAGCCGAGAGAAGCCGTGCCAGTGGCACAGACAACATCGGTGGTGACCACTGCTGAAGAGCTGGTGACTACGTTGGTGACGGTGGTGGGATAGGTCGAAGTCACGGTGGCGATGGACACACTGGGAGCACCAGCAGCCGGAAGAGCAATTGTGGCTGCCAGACTGGCAGGGGCCAAGGTTGAGAGGAGAAGCAGCCCACTGGCTACTGAGAAGTCCTTCATGGTGGGGACGGTAACGATTGGGTTGATTGAGGTTGGGGTTGATGTTCAAAGAATGACAAGGGCTCAGCAGGAGCCTTGGAGAATGTCACAATGGCATGGACAGAAAGGACAGACAGTGAATGCCAGCAAGGAGGAACACGAAAGAAAAATCAGATCTCGCACGTCGTCAGCCTGGCGGCGATGTAGGACGAACAGCGACTGTTATTTAAAGGCAATTGGGATTCGGTGGCGTCAGATGGCCGCAATGGCCGCACTCCCAGCATTGTGGGACAGCTCTTCTTGGGGATCCAGATCAGTCTGAGCCTATCGATAAGTTGACCGAGAATTGGGGTGGAGACAGAGGCTTCTCAACCTCTCAAGCCTTGGAGCTGAAAGCAAGTTGGGGAAAATCGGAGCGAGGACTCTACCGCATTAGGGCTAGTTAAGGGGGTGACGACAAGCCACTATCCACGGAGTACGCCGTGCCTCGCTCAACCCCACCTGATCGGTTCAGGTCTGGATGCGAGCTAGACCTAGGGTGGCCAACATATGCGGAGCTATTGAAGTGCTGTGGCTGAGGATCGGACGTGGACTACAGCGATCGAGTTGGGCGATTGGTTGGTGAAGCTGGATTTATGCCTAAGGCAGCAAGTGGATCCACCGCATCCCCACTGCTGTGCTCTCATCCTTATGCAGATGAATAGAACAACTGATACAACAGTCGCCTTTTATGGAAAGGAATGCTCTTCGGGACCAGAAGGGAAGTCTGCAACCCGAGACGAAGGCTGGTCGAAAAACTGCACCGACCACGCCATCGCGCTGGAAATCTCACTAGGCCACTCCCCGGGGAACTGGAGATCGTCTGGCATAATGTGTGACGAGGTGAACGAGGCTGAGTCGAGATTAAGAGCAGGGTCTGTGTCGCTGAGGGCTTGTGGTAGAAGCGACAACGGCTGTGAGGTAGACTCTACGACTGCTGACGGTGCTATAGTATAGAAGGTGAGAAGCGATACCCACCTGACCAGGTAAAACTTTGTACACACCTTTATGGATGGAATGATGGAGGCTTGACAGCGCTTTCAACATCTCAGCCGCTTTACGTGCAGCGGCTGAGTTGGCACTCAGCGCCTCGAAGACCTTCAAGCAGGTCTCGGCATCTTCTCGCAGATCCTGCGCAGATGCGGTGCTATAAAACGAGTCTTGGTTGGGGCAGAACGCTTCGGCAACAAAGAGAATCGAGCTGGCGCAAATTAAGCACGAGATCATCTGCCACCAGGGAAAGTCATGCACCAGACTGCGCTCGTCGACCAGATTGTGAAGTAGCTGCGCGGTCTGCCGTGCTTCCTGGACGCATATGGATTCGGCCTGGGCGATTCTATGTTTGTCCCGTCGCAGCAGTTCCATGAAGGGATGATTATTGGTCTGCAGGAGAGGAAGACATAGAAAAGGTCGGTGGATCAAAGCGCGTAGATGGTGATACTTTACGGCAAGCATGTTGCGCTGTCCTGCGTTAGTCAAAGTTGAAGCTTAAAGGGCGCTACCCACCTGTCGCTTGAAAGTGACCGAGCTTTCGAAGGTATGGCCCAGATCAAATCGTAGATGTCGTGGCAGTCCCTTCTTCCATTCGCTGAGCCGTTGATCCAGAGCCGACGAAGTGTTGAGCATCACGTCCGGGGCCACGTCGATCTGCGAGGGCCGGTACAACTCCCGAATGACTGCACCCACCAAGTAAGAAAACCGGATGACGGCGAGAAAGTAGTCCATAAGAAAGCAGGTCGAGGTGTCTCTGTTTGCCGTAATTGACTCCGCGGACACAGTTGCATCCTGGCCGAACGGGAAGGGGTCGGAAACCGAGGGCATCTCCACTTGGAATTCGCTTTCGTGGATGGCCATCGGACGGCCGAGTTGAAGCGCAAGGAGTCGATCGAGAACATACATCGAGTACCAGGTTCGCCGCCAGTGCGCCCGGTCGGCCATCCATGAAGTGCGGGCGTGATTCGGGGACGATTCGACATGAAGGCCGATGCTTTGACCCATGCGGATGGCAAAGCCTAGTGTGTTCCAGCACCTGGTCCTTACGATGAGTTATCGATCTCAAACCTTGACCACAATGGAACTTACCTGTCTGTATGGCATATCGCCAGCAGAAAAAAGCATTGCACTATCAAGGCCCATACACTCAGCAAGGAACAGGTTGCGCCCAGTTCCCGCGAGAAGTAGACACCTTGTTCGAAGTATCGCAAATGATCCAATGACGCTGTCCCAGATCGATGTGGAAAAGAGGTGTAGTAGGAGCCGATGGCGAAGATAAAGTCTATCTAGCGGTCAGAAGCAGTGCAGACCCATCGAATACATGGTCTTACTAAACAATGCAAGCCAGGGCTCGAATTCCTGGTACGCGTAATCACCGGTCTGGAAGACCTGAAACTGCTCGAGGAGGATATCTCTGCAGAGGAACGGGTAAGCGACATGAATAGTGGAGAGATAAACATCTATGAAGCCTTGGGCTTCGGCTGGAGTGGGAATGATGAGAGGCTGGGTTAACCCGGCTAAGCTCTTGATGGTATGCGTCTGAGAATAGTTGTCGGCTGGCAAAGGCTCTCTTGCAGTCCAAGCTCCAGTTTGATAGCACTGGCGAATGCGATGTATGAAATGAATATCGCTGGCCTTGCCCACGTAGGTGGCAGGTGAATCCACGCCCGCATCGCTAGAGACAGTGCTCGGTTCTCGGGTCAAGGAAGGCTGTTCCAGGCTCGAATCGGTGGCATTAACAGGCAGCTGTCGGCGGATTGTGTGTAGACTAGCATTCAGAGTTCCTTTCTGGCTCTGATCGAGGTTCGATAGTAGCTCCTGCATCAGAGTATCGTATTGCCGCACAGCTCTTTGATAGCTCGCCAAATCATCATGCTTTGGCTCGTCCGACAAAGCCTGGCACTCTGGCTCTTTGGAAGATACATCTTTCGCAGTCTCGACCTCTGGCAATAGAACCTTTCGTTTACGTGTGGACCATGAACATTTGAAGCCGTAGCCCTCGCATCGGGTACAAATCGGCTGTCGCCCATCGCACTTGGCCTTGAGAAGTCGACATTTCTCACAAGCAATGGGTGCTCTCTGGCGCTTCATGATGCATGTCGAAGAATGATGTTTCGGAGGTCAGGGATTTTGAGAAGAGCTACTGAGAATGCCCAAGCCCGAGTGAATGAATAAATCAGAACGAAGGGGGTGGCTGTGCTTATGTCAGCGCATCGTCGCGTCCAGTCTAGATCACGTGATGCCATAATCAATGAAGGCATATGTCCCACCACAGTCACCAGAATGGAGTGCTGGCATACAGACAATTATGGAAGAAGAGTCAGGTCTTCTGACTTGGATTGATATTGACGGTAGTAAGTCCGATGGTTGGCGAAAGGTTCACAATCAAGTTCTGCATGAGTTGATCCGAAGATAGAGGAGAGGAGGAGCCGCCCGGGCCGTGATTTCCGTGATTTCCGCGATTACCGCGATTGCCGGAATGCCACCAAGTCAATGATGAATGAGCATTCGGACAAGGGAGAACCTGTTGGAATTTTCCTCCCACCACAATCGTGCCTGCGACTGTCCTTGAAAATGCAGTCACAATGCAGTGTCCAGGCGCGACACGACAGACTAGAACGACCCTCAGGTTCATCCCCGAAAGAGAAGCCAATGCCAATGGCTGAATCCGACTCCGACTCTGAAATCAATCTCGATGAGGTTGCCGCCCCGCCACCGGTCTACGATCGTCCCGATGAGGATCACCTCGAGAATGAATTATCCCACCCGGCAGGCAGAGTAGAAGAAGACGTGGAGCGAGACTCTCGACCAAATCAAAATGGGGGATATACACCGACCGTGGGAAGGGAAGAAGCTGAAAAGCAGCCGGGGAGGGGGAGGGGGAGGGGGAGGGGCCTTCAGTCAACTTCCATGCGCATGCCCTATGTCATCTCCTATTTGATCTTCTTCTCGTTCCTGGGCACTTTACTGAGAATGGTCATCGAGAGTTTGACCTTCTACCCCGGCGCGCCCGTCAACATCAGTGTAATATGGGCCAATGTGGGAGGCTGTTTTATCATGGGATTTCTCAGTGAAGACCAAGGGCTGTTCCGGTTCAAAGAAGTGGACATCCAAGTCGAACACGAGGATGATGGCCAGCGCAGGGCGCGTGTAACCGCCCACAAGAAGACCATCCCCCTCTACATCGGACTGACCACTGGATTCTGCGGGTGTTTGACATCCTTTTCCACCTTCATCCGCGACCTATTCCTCGCCCTATCCAATGGTCTGTCCGTTCCCGTGGGACCCTACTCAGACGTCTCGTTGTTCGCTGCTGCGCAAGACGCTCCCAAGGCCCCTAACGGCGGGTTCAGCTTTATGGCGATCATCGCAGTGCTTTTCCTCGAAGTTGGGCTATCCACGTTTAGCATCAAGCTCGGAGCCCATACGGCGGTGTTTCTCTCCTCTTGGACCCCCCGTTTACCGCAATGGTGGCTGGAACGGATCGTCAACCCGTGCATGATCCCGTTGGCCACTTTGTCCTGGATCGCGCTTATCTGCCTCGTCGCACTGCTGCCGCGTTACGCATTGGACCCGACCCTATGGAGTGCAGAGATATGGCGTGGCCCCGTGCTGTTTGCGCTGGTGTTCTCTCCGGTCGGCTGTCTCGCGCGGTTCTTCCTGTCGCTCAAGCTCAACAGTCGTCTGGCCGCGTTCCCCCTGGGAACCTTTGCGGCGAATATTTCAGGGACCGCAGTGCTAGGAATGGCGTACTGTTTGCAGCACAGCTCGATCAGCGCTGCAAGTCTGGGCGGGGGAAGCGTCGTTGGCTGCCAAGTTTTGCAAGGAATCATGGACGGATTCTGCGGCTGTCTGACGACCGTCAGTACGTGGGCGTTGGAGTTGATTGACCTGCGTCCGCGGCACGCTTATGTGTATGGAATCATCAGTGTGGTGGTGGCCTTCTGCTTGTTGGTGGTGGAGATTGGCAGCTTGAAGTGGACTCGAGGGCTCGAGACTCCGATTTGCTTCAGTGCGAGTACCATATAGTAACTACTTATGGATAATAATGAGCTGGTCATTTGTCACATACTTAACTGGCATTATTTACGGAACCACTAGATTCTAGGAATGTATATTCATATTTATCTTAAATCTTGGTAGCCTCACAGAATTGCTTGCCCTCCCCTCAGGTTGTGTCGAGCGCGTTGGTTAACAAACCACCTCATTCCTCAACCTCAATCCCTCAATCGCAGTTCGGAAAACCCTTCCTCGGTTTCCAAGCTTCGTGGCAATGGCCAATCAGTCTTAATGCAAATCTATATAAGCGCGTCAGCAAGTTACCCAACCCAGCGAACAACAACCTTACTGCCGATTCATCAACCTGCCATCCAGCGCCAGCCGATTCGGACTGCGTCCGTCAGGCACCTTGTAGACGCAATACCAGGTTTTCAACGATTCCAAGAATCCAGGAAACTGCGTTTCCACATCCTGTATGTCCGCGAGGCTCTCCGCGTGCGCATCGGTGACGTCGACAGCAATGATCTTCCAATCCGTGCTGCCTTCGTCCAGCACGACAAATGTCCCAAGCGGCTTCACCTTCTTGACCTCGCCGCATTGAGCCATTCCGGTGCCGATCTCACAGATATCCAAGGGGTCGTCATCTCCTACCACTCCTGTGTAAAGGTCTATTGCCGTGGGGTCTTCCCAGGTCTGTTGTTTAGAATAACCGTCAGAAGTCAGCAATATGACCACAGGGATATATCCTCAAGAAGGAAGGTGTTCAAAGGGCGTTCACCTGTGGAATAGCACCGTAGTTGCACGGATAGCCCTGGAACGGTGGGACATCGGCCACTTCTCTGGGTTTCCCATCTCTGATGTCCTGCTTGATTGGATTGAAAGTGATCTCCTTCGTGATCTGGTTCATTGAGGACTTAGCTCGTTCAATCTCCGAGGCATAACAACAATGTAGAGCATACCTCCATCTTTGCATTCGCCCCTCGCGGAATCTCCACGACCATTTTCAATATCTCTGCCTTTCGATCCGCCCACAACGGAAGGTCATGCCATGGCGAGATCCGCTGGCCATTGCGCTGGAAGTACAGGCACGCTAGACCGGAGTCCGCAACCAAAGTGTCCTCGATCGTGATATTAGAAGTCATGGCGCCGTATGTTGGCGAGAGCGAGTGTCCTGAAATGGGCACAAAAGAGATGGGTCTGGAGACGAAAGACCATCGAGAACGCGACCACGAGAAAGGACGCACGAGTAAGAATACAGGACATGATGAAAACTGATGGATGACGGCGATTGCAAAGAAGAGAGGGTTGGGGCCTCCAGATCGGCAAGACCGGTAAAGACGGGAGTTATCTCTACGGTGAGACTGGTGACGCCATGTCTGACAAACAATAACCTGGGAAGTCGCGAGAATACAATTTAAGTGAATCGTAGTGCTTTTTCACGGCATTTTCTTGTTGCTTGGGCTGCATTTTTCGCATTTGAAAACACCTCCTCCCATCTGATCCCAATGATCACAGCAATCAAGGCAGCGCAACGCTTGGATTCCCGGGGCAACCCTACCGTCCAAGTCGACCTGACTACTGAACATGGTGAGCGCCACTCACTTATAAATCCCCGGAGGCAAAGAAAGTAAGAATGACTGAAACGAGGGTCAGGGGTTTTCCGTGCTATTGTCCCCTCCGGAGCCTCGACCGGCGCCAACGAGGCCGTTGAGCTCCGGGATGGCGACCCATCCAACTACAGTGGCAAAAGTGTGCACAAAGCCATTCAAAATGTCGAGAACATCATCGGCCCCGCGCTGATCAAGAGCGGGCTTCGAGTTGAGACGGACCAGAAAAAGATCGATGAGCTGCTCATCGCCTTGGACGGTACTAAGAACAAAGCCAATCTCGGTGCCAATGCCATCCTGGGGGTTAGTATGGCTTGTGCACGCGCAGGAGCAGCTGCGGCGGTAAGTGAGAACTGCCTAGGCTGATTTCACAGCAAAATACTGAACAGACATAAGGGTTTGGAGCTATATGAGTTTCTGCGACGCGAATCCGGTGATAAAAAGCCCTATGTGATGCCGGTGCCGTTCTTCAATGTCCTCAACGGCGGCGTGCATTCTGGCAACAAGATGGCCTTTCAAGAGAATATGATCGCGCCCGTCGGAGCGAGCTCATTCAGTGAAGCCGTGCGTATGGGCAGTGAGGTTTACCACCATCTGAAGCAAATCCTCACCAAACAATTTGGAGCGTCGGGTCAGTCGTGAAATCGGACCTGACAAAGCATCTCGAGTGGGCACTGACCATGACGATTTAGCCGTCGGTATCGGCGATGAAGGCGGCTTTGCTACGCCCATCTCGCAGCCCCATGAGGCTCTTGACCTGCTGGTAGAGGCCGTATCCGAGGCAGGCTACGAGGGAAAGATCAAATTCGCCATCGACCCGGCTTCAAGCGAGTTCTTCAAGAACGGAACCTACGACCTCGGCTTCAAGGACGATGCCCCGAATCCTCTGTCGCCAGAGCAGCTAATGGATCTTTATCACTCGCTGCTTAGCAAGTATCCCATCGTCCTACTCGAAGATCCCTTCGCGGAGAATGACTGGGCCAGCTGGACTGAATTCTGCAAGAATTGTCCCGTGGAGCTGGTGGGCGATGACCTGCTGGTGACGAACAAGATTTATGTGCAAGAAGCCCACGAAAAGAAAGCATGTACTGCGATGCTGCTCAAGATCAACCAGATCGGAACGATCTCTGAAGCTCTCGAAGCGTACGTGACTCTGGGTTCGACCGAAGGGCGAGCATGGCTGACAATTCTCAGGGCAAATCTGGCATATAGGTACGGTTGGAGTGTGTTCGTGTCCCATCGGTCTGGTGAAACCACGGACGACTTCATCGCAGACTTGGTGGTGGGGCTGCGCACTGGTCACATCAAGTCGGGAGCGCCATGCCGCGGGGAGAGAGTTGCCAAATATAACCGGCTGATCGAGATAGAGGAGGCGCTTCTAGCACGAGGCGAAGAGGTGGTGTATGCTGGAGCGAAATTTTCGGCCGCTTCCAGGCTCTAAGATTGGTATTCCTGGCTTGATCCAGGCGCTGGACTACGTTCCGTCGGGGATATCGGTCAGACGGGGTTGACCCTATCTTCTGCCGTGCTACATAAGTCACATTGAAGAAGTTACAAGTTTATTCAAGTTGTTAAAGGATAAGCCAATCGGATCGAAAGCTGCAGTCGGATTGACCCAGGAACAGTCTGTCTTTCTTTGAGAAATTGCAAGACCCTTTAAGATCAATATGCATAAATGTATCTAGCGCCGCAACTCCGGTACACTCGTTGGATCCCTTGACCCCACAAAGCAAAATATCTTTCTCGTGCGCCATGGTTGTGTGTGAATCGTAGTTTCAGACTTCGCCACCATCAGCGGTCTACTAATAGTGAAGAGGTAAGGATAGCTGAATCCCTTACAGATTGAGACTTGTCATCTGCTTGCGCATCAGCGCGAATGGGCGTCCTCGAGGGTGGGACGTCGAATCGTGACCGGAGCAGTGGGCTCGGGAGCAGCGACCTCACTCAGAGCCCCGAGTCCGACATCCACATCCCCTGCCTTGCTAGCCGGTGGTGCATTGGGTTCAAGAGTATGCCTAGTATAGTTTGGGGGTCTCGAATCATGGACTGGCGTGCTTTGTCGGGGTGGTCGACAGCAGAAGAAGGCAGAACCAGCTCGAAGATAGGAGAGTGACGGCATAATAGTAGTATAACATGCATACGTAGTTTCTGGAGGGGTGGTAGACGGTAGTTGTAGGGATCCGACTCCACGGCTATATGTATTTCATGAGAATTGAACCATCTACCTAGGGACGTCACCTTGTGCGCATAGGCGCCTTACTTGATGGAAAGTCGATGACCTAGGGCTTAGCTAGGATAGACTACAGGAGTGCAGCCGCACTACCCGTTCTACCCGTTGGAGGTTTCGGATCTGCGCCAGTGCCCAATCTCACAGCCTCATGACGCACCTGGAGAATGGGCTCAAGATCAAGCTTTCCCTGTCGAGTCCAATCGTAGTCATGACTTCATTAGATCTGCAGGTTAGGGGGAGCGAGTTGGTCGGTGTTATAAAGCAGAACCAAGAGCCGAGTGCCAATGCTCCTGGACATGAATCCAAGGCGAGACCAAGCAAGCAACAATGGAAGACCACGAGAAAGAGCTTCCCAACGGTCACCAGCCATCGAATGATCTATCGGAGTACACTGCCCTCAATCGCTTTATCTCCACTACGACCACCGCCAGTCATGCCGCACCGTCAGCTACCGACAAGGATTCTGACGAACCCACTTCGCACCCACCCCGGTGGAAATTCTGGCGGCAGTTCCACGACAGCACAGACGAGAAGGGTGGTGGGCCCTTCCAGACTCCCTCGGAGTGGCTGGACACTGACATCTCGTCGGGTCTCTCGGAAGCCGAGGTTGACGAACGGCGGAAGAAGTGCGGATGGAATGAACTGGCCAGTGAAAGCCCCAACAAGCTGCTTCAGTTCATCGCATATTTCCGGTGTCCGATACTGTATGGTACGTGCTCATCAAGTTTCTGCTTGTGCCCATCTATTGCCTATAGTATACTAAACAACCTATTAGTGATGGAGCTCGCCCTGTTCCTCGCAGCTGGCCTGCGCGACTGGATCGATTTTGGCGTGATCAATGGAATCCTCATGTTGAACGCGATCGTTGGATGGTACCAGGAGAAACAAGCCGCGGATGTGGTCGCCAGCCTAAAGGGTGACCTCGCCATGAAGGCAATTGTGGTGCGAGATGGGGAGGAGAAGGAGATCTTGGCTCGTGAGGTCGTCGTGGGTGACATTGTAAGCATACTCTGCCTAGCGATGCATCACGACGAATAAATGACTGACGTTGAAACACAGCTCATTCTGGAGGAAGGCAATGTCATCCCTGCGGAAGCACGATTGATCTGTGACTATAGTGAGCCCGATACGTTTGCTGCATACAGAGAAAAGATTGCGCAGGAGGGAGAAGACCCTCTGCACGAGGACGGAGAAAGCAGCGAGGATGAGCACAAGCATACGGAAAAAGCAATTGTAGCCGCGGACCAGTCTGCAATTACTGGTGAATCCCTCGCTGTAGGTACCCCTGACCATCACCCAAAGATTGTCTCATAGACGTCTCGTCTGACCTTGTAATTAGGTCGACAAATTCATGGGGGATGTCTGTTATTACACGACCAGCTGTAAGAAGGGCAAGGCGTATGCCATCGTGAATGCCTCAGCGAAAGACTCCTTCGTGGGGAGAACCGCATCGCTCGTCCAAACCGCCAAAGACCAGGGCCACTTCAAGGCCGTGATGGACTCCATCGGCACTACCCTGCTGGTACTGGTTATGTTCTGGATCCTCGTTGCGTGGATTGGGGGCTTTTACCGGCACCTGCGCATCGTCACCCCGGAAAATGATGACAACAATCTCCTGCACTAGACTTTGATTCTCTTGATCATCGGAGTCCCGGTGGGACTGCCCGTAGTAACTACGACTACACTGGCTGTTGGCGCAGCGTTCCTCGCCCGCAAGAAGGCCGTGGTGCAGAAGCTGACCGCGATAGAGTCGCTGGCTGGAGTGAATTGGGGGTTCTCGATCGGGGTGGTCATCGTTATCGCCACCGTTTATTACCTCCTCTCGCGGATTACATGGCTACAGAACCTCGGACGGGCCAATCGTTCCAAAGAAGAACTGAAGATGGAGCGATTCCTTGAGCAGCTATTCAAGCTTACAGTGGAACGAGAGATCGATCCTAAGTCTGAGAATCCGCGGTTCGTTCTGAAGACCCGAACGGAGGATATCGATGCGGACGATTAGGGTCGAGTCTACTTGCTGCGGTATTGAAGGGTATAATTCTGTCTCCCGTGATAGATGTAATCTATAGTTTAGAAGACAAAGATCATCTGGGGTGCACGAGCAGTAATAATGCAAGCTTGTTTTATCCGTCGCTTTATCAGTCGCTAAATAACTACATATAGGGCACCCCATGACAAATTCTTTTTGAACAATCTTCCCCGGCTGGCGTCGACGCACTCATGGATAATTCAGCCGAAGCTAGGAGGGCGAGACAGGTCTCTCACATACCATCCCCACCATTATTATGTTAGTCTGGAATGCGCACGGTGGGTCCTGCTGATAAGCTTAGGTGAATTTGGAATCATCTGATCCGTCAGGGTTTTCTAGGGTTCACCGTGCTGGGTACGTAGGAGTGCTGCAACCCTTCAACCGGTATGAGACTCATAATACTCCTCCCGTCCAATGCCGTATACTCACGACGTCCTTAGCAGCCTGCAACAGCACAGAGATTGACCGAGTCACCCCCTCCACATGCTCTACTCATAGCCATTGCGGCAATTTCATCAGGACAAGCCTTCTCACACCGCGTTAGAATTTTCCTCACGCCACCAGGCTAAACTTCACCAGGCCAAGTGAATTAGTAGCGCAAACTCTCAGCAAAGTCAACCGGCCATGAGGCTCGTGGGCGCCTGACAACGCGGCCATTCATGACTCGGAGAAAAGCCGGAGGGGGAAAATTGGCCGGAAGGAAGACGACGCTAAGGCCCGAAGTGGAACTCGACACGAGCCAAAGATCAATCTAATCAATCTAGTCAATCAATCAGATAATCAGATAAGACTCCGCGCCCCCTCTTTCTCTTGCTTGAACCCTCTTGGCAGTCCCTTTTGTCCTTGGTTTGAGGGCCAGTAGTCTAGTAGAGCCACTGTTGAATGGTCGAATGAATCCTTCAATTGCCAAGCCAGCATTGTCAGGATGACTGCTGTCGCTGCTGCAGTCGGCATATCCGGGTCTCTGCTGCACCATTCCTTCCTTAGTCCAGTCCATGCCCTGAGTCATGCTACTCTATCAGATTGAATCAATCTAGTCTAGCAAGATTGCAGGGAAATTTGTTTTCCGGTCCTCGGACCACTTGCCTGGGACCATGTGGCAACTGAAGTATAAGTAGAGGTTGAGGCCCGCCCCAGCCTGCATTCCTGTACGTGACATTTGTTCCGGACAACCACCGCCATGGCTCTCAGGAACCGCTTCATCAACCCCTTCGCGGCCAAGGGCGCTGTCGGGGCACAGTCTGAGACTGGGCACTCTGATCTCGAGACAACTGCAGAGTCGAAGCACCCTATAGACCAAGCACAAGAGACCGATCGCTCCTCGCAGGATGATACAATCATCGACGACAAAGCGCAAGCCGGTACCCAGAAGGCGCAGGCCAGCACCCAAGCCTGGACGAGGAACACCTTGATTGCAGCCTACATCCTGTAAGTCTCCGATCACTCACTCCGAAGCATCTCTCACTAACCTCGCCCTCCCTCCCAGGGCTTGGATCGTCAACTTCCTCGAATACTTCAGCTCCGGCCTCCTCGGCTCCCTGTCCCCCTACATCTACAGCGGCTTTGCCCTGCACTCCCTGACGGGCCTGACCTCGGTCATTGCCTCGTTGATCTCCGCGATGGTCAAATTCCCGTACGCGAAGCTAATGGACATCTGGGGCCGACCGCAGGCCTTCGCCGTCGCCGTGGGCTCGCTGACACTAGGGCTGGTGATGATGGCCGCCTGTAAGAACGTGCAGACCTACTGCGCCGCGCAGGTCTTCTACCAGATTGGGTTCAGCTGCATCGACTTCTCGATGACGATCTTTATCGCCGACACGACCGCCCTGAAGAACAGGGCGTTCTGGATCGCTTACGCCTCGTCGCCGTACCTGATTACCCCATGGATCTACGGCTACGCAGCCGACCGCATCGTTGCCCCCGGGGGCATCGGCTACCGCTGGGGATTCGGAGTGTTCGCCATCATCATGCCCATTGTCTGCGCTCCGCTGTGGGGGCTATGGTACTACATCCAGAAGAAGGCCGAGCGGATGGGCCTGACCGAGAAACGCGAGCGCAGCGGGCGCACGCTGGTCCAGTCTATCGTTCACTACGCCATCGAGTTCGACGTGGTCGGCCTGCTCATCATCGCTACAGGCTTCTCCCTCTTCCTGCTGGCCTTCAACCTGTACTCGTACCAGGCCAACGAGTGGCGCTCGCCGCTGATCATCTGCTTCATCATCATCGGAGCCCTGCTGATCCTGGCCTTCGTGGTGTGGGAGCGCTTCTGGGCCCCCGTCCAGTTCATGCCCTGGGCGTTGATCCAGGACCGCACCGTCGTCTTCACCTTCTCCATGGTCGTCTCCCTCTACCTGGCCTGGTACATCTGGGACAGCTACTTCTACAGCCTGCTGCAGGTGGTCTTCAACCAGACCGTCACGCAGGCCACCTACATCTCTAACATCTACACGATCGGCTCCTGCTTCTGGTGCCTGGTCTTCGGCGCCATCCTGCGCTACCAGGGCCGTCTGAAGTACTGGTCCATCTGCTTCGGCGTGCCCCTGACCATTCTAGGAGTCGGGCTGATGATTAAGTTCCGCCAGCCGGACGTGAACATCGGGTATATCGTCATGTGCCAGATCTTCGTCGCCTTTGGGGGTGGCACCCTGGTCATCTGCGAGCAGATGACGGTCATGGCCGTGTCGGCGCAGCGCAACATCCCAGCGATCTTGGCCATCGAGGGCGTCGTCGCCAGCATCGGTAGCGCCCTAGGCGGGACGGTGGCGGTCGCCATGTGGACGGGCATCTTCCCCGTGAAGCTGCGGTCGCTGCTGCCCGCGTCCACGGAGGCCGACTGGTCGACGATCTACGGCTCGCTGGACGTGCAGCAGTCCTACGCCCGGGGAACGCCCACCCGCGACGCCATCGACTCTGCCTACGGCGAGACCCAGCGGCTGATGCTGATTACGGCGACGTGTCTGTATCTGATCACCTGGTCGTCGTGCTTCTTCTGGAAGAACATCGACGTCAAGAAGATGAAGCAGCAGGTGCACGGGGTGCACTTTTAGGGGTTCGTCAGTCTGGCCTCTGGCCGGTGAATCGATACCTCTTGAGAGAGGAGGCGGAAAACCGATTGCACCCTGAACAGGTGAACAAGATTCATGGGGAATGATATCCAGAATGAAAACGTAGCTCTTTACTCTGTTTTTGAAAAGTACTTTGTCTTGAGCAGTTGCCATTAATATAGTAGGATATGTAATAGATGAGAATCGAAGGCAAATGAAAGGAACCCTTCTCTTCCAAAGAAAACAAGAAAAGGCATTCAAAACCGAGGCCGTTGACAGAACGATCCCAGTACCAGCTGCCCACAGCAAAGGTGTAAGCTAGCCCTACTTTCCCTCCTCCCCCTCCTCAGCAACCGTCTTCTTCTTCCTCACATCAACCCACCCCATCCCAAACGCCGCCACACACCCCGTCAGGCAGCACGCCATTAGCAGATAAAACACCTTATCCAGACTATTCGCAAACGCCAGCAACACCCCCACCAGCTCCGCACTGCTACCGCTACCCTCCGACACCAACGCCCGGACGGAGCTCGCGCTCGCACCAGCGGCCAGGGCCGCATCCACCGAGACCTGGGGCGCATGCAGTCGGATCTCCTTGACGAGCTGCTGCCGGAAGATCACCTCCGCCACGACGACGAACACCGCGCCGGCGAAGTTCTGGCAGAAGATCATGAAGGCGATGCCGATGGGGATCAGGTGGACGGGGAGGTGGTTCTGGATGGCGATGATGCCCTTTGTTATGGTTAGTATGGGTCTGGATGGAAGCGAAAGAGGTGTTGTGTACTGTGATGGGGTGCAAAGTATAAGGGGGTTAGCTTACCATCTGCATCCCAATCCCACGCCCACTGCCTAGCACAATCTGGTACCCAATCCACTTGCCTGTCGGGGTCGAAGGCGCGAACATCGTGACGAGGCCGTTGCCGACGGCGCTAATGGCGCTCCCTGCAGCAGCGAAGGGTAGGTAATACCCCAGTTTTTGCACTACGTCCCATCGGAATATTGTCAGAAACCACGCGATTTTGAGAAAGGAGAAAGGTTACTGACCAAAGGCCCCCGAAAGAATGACCATGAGCAGCTGACTCAAGATGCCCGGCAGGGTGTTCACCCCGCTCATGGCCGGCCCATACCCACGCACTCCCTGGAAGTAGATGGGGAGGTACTGCGCCGCCACCAGGATGGACGCCACCAGCATTCCTCCGTTGATGGCACTGGAGTAGACGATGCGTGCGCTGACCATCGAGGTCGGGATCATCGCCCGCTCGCCCATGCGCTTCTCCCACAGCGCGAACACGATGGCTGTCGCCCCGGCGCCGCAGAACAGCCCGATCACCACCGAGCTGTCCCAGCTGTAGTCATTTCCGCCGTACTGGAGGGCCAGCAGGACCATGATGGCAGCGGGGGCAAAGAGGGCGAACCCGAGGAGGTCGAGGTCTGGGAGGGTGCGGCGCACCAGGGCCAGCGAGAAGGGGGCTTTGGTGGTGAGTTCGGGCACGTGCATAAAGAGCAGGAGGACGGCAGTGACGGCGCCGACGGGGAGGTTGATGTAGAAGCCTGTCCTTGTCAAAATGATTGCATTGAAAATCTGGGGAAACTGTGAGTTACATACACCAGCGCCAGGTCGTGTACTGGGTGAGCGCTCCGCCGATCAAAGGGCCGCAGATGATGCCGACCTGCGAGACTGGAATTGTTCAGCTGATTGTCCTCTACCAGATCAGGAGGCAGGCGACTTACTGCCAAGGTAGATTCCGGTGAAGACTGAGGTATTGTTAGGCATGGTTCTCACATCACACATCGAGGAACTCACTCGGTCGTTTCTCCAGCGGCACCGAGCCAGCAATGATGGTCATCCCTCCGTTCAACAGCCCTGAACTCCCCATGCCAGCGATGGCTCGCCCTCCGATCAGCATCGACGAGGAGTTGGCCAGTCCGCAGATGAGGGAACCCAGCTCGAACACCCCGAAGAAGAACAAATACGACCACTGGAGAATCATCAGCCTCTACCCCATAAATCCTCTTCGCAATTCCCCAACCTTGGTATTGTAGAAGGTGTACACCTTGCCCGACAGCGGCTGCAACGCGGCACTCGCCAACTGATAGGCCGCCGTGTACCAGCCCACATCGTCCAGCGAGTGAAACTGACTCGTGATATTGGGGATGGCCTGGACGAGTGCGTCGATGTGCAACAATCAGTCTGTATCCTAGGGTGTAGATTTACTCTGGCAACGGCAACATACCACCCCGATAATCGACCCGTCAAGCAGCATCAGAAACGCCGCGAGGGTGACACTGGCCAGGACAGCAAAGAGCTTGAGTCCTGTGATGTACTCGTGGCTCTCATCGGCCGTCGTTGCACTCCCTGGCGCCCTCTGGCTCTCTCCAGCGTCGGCCATACCGTCGCCTTTCTCATCTGCGAGGGGATGGTGCAGTTCCGACTCCGACTCCGTGGGAGCTGGTCTGGTCCGTGGAGAGGATTCAACATTGTCCATTTCGCACGTTCTGGTTAGGTTTATGAAAATTGTCACGGAGGTGAGTTCCAATCCGAGAGAATGCGGGTAGATGTAGGGTATAGTATGAAGAAAGGGGTATAGTACAAAGAAGAGCTGGAATCAGGGTCCAAGGGATGAAGAGTCAAAAGCATTGGGCAGAAACCCCTAGCCCCTAACGAGCATTTCAAACATACAGCAGACCGTGAGATTGCTTGACCCCTCAATCCACTACGTGGGCAGCAGTCACCTCCCAGAAGTCATGAGCGGTGGAATTTACCGAAGATCGACAGTCCCGACAATACCTCCGCCGCTAAGTCCGGGGTCGTACAGCCCTAATCGGCACTATCGATTGCCATTCCAGTTGCAGCCACGGAAAGGCTGCATGCTTTATCTGTTTCTGGTACGGTGACAAGGATGTGCCTGTCATTCGCTGCCGACTCTTGCAGCCTCCTGTAGACTACTGCGTACTACGGCGCACTACGGCGCACTACTGCACCCGGGATGGACTCGATTGGGCCTTTCATGATGCGCATCACAATTACCCAAAAGGGAGAGCCCCTGGAAAGAAGCAATTATGGCAGCTGACGAGTGGGGTCCCAACCAATGGGCGAAACCACCGAATCGATTCCCTGCGGTGGCCAGGGTCACTGAAGAGCACCACGGTCTAGAGCAGATGGTCGAACCCGATCGCCCGGGAGTAGACCCTGAGTCTAGCATTGTCCGGCTAAATTCAATACTTGGTTGGTGAAGGCCAACAGACTGAGCTGTTCACAAGAAAGGTTACGTGCCTCGGAAAAGAGTCCCAGAGACATGCACCCCCCGGTCAATCCCTCGACAAGAACTCCCGTTCAGCAGCCCCTAATCTGAATGCTTCGTATAGATTATGTAGTCTGTGCTGTAGCCAAGAATTATTCTGTAATGGACTCTAAGGGCCTGGTTCACTGGACTCGATAATGCCCTATGTTTCACTTCACTGTACACATGAACAGAAATGTCTGGACCATAGTGAAATACGCATGTATGTGTGGACTGTAGCTATCCGCTCTTCCATGGTTCTATCCTAAGTATACTTGCAATCATATCGGCAAGGCACGTACCTACCGCTCTTATTCCCCACAAATTCAAGTAGCATTATATACAACCTCATAGCCCCGTAGACACCTTGATTAACGACCCGTAGCTCCAAGTATACCCCTGGGTCATACAATAACCAGAGAACTCTTGTAGACCTCTCGACCTGAAGTCAATCCAAACACCGCACCCGTCTCATCTTCCCCCTCAACGCCTCAATGACCCCCAGCCCGCCTCTCTCCCGCCCACACTCGGCATTCCCCGCGTCCAACTCAACTTGCATCAACGTCGAGAATAACAACTGCCCACTAGGGCTACTGAACAGCCCCTCCGGCTTTGGATCGGTCTCGTCCAGCCCCGTCCGCGGCGATGAGAGACAGAACTCCTCTGGCAGGCCGAGGAGAACTTCGATGGGCCGCAACTGACTCCCTGTCAAACAGTACAGCAAGTGACTCAGCATGCCCAAGCCGGGGGGCACGGCAATGCCACCGAGAAACAGCTTGGGGGCGGCTTGCGTCGCCAGGTGGAGGGCCGTGGGGTTGAGCCGGGCCTGCTCGATAAAGTGGCCGAAGATGACGTCGTAGATGGAGATCGTGAGCAGGTGGCAGCTCAGGATGGTGAGGAGGTCGGCGATGCTGAGGCGCGGGTGGGTGAATGCTAAGGTGGGGGTGGTGTTGGCGGGAGCTTTGGCGGCTGGGTGGTGATGGACATTGGTACTCTCTGGAGGGGTAGAGGCTTGAATGGAGCGGAGAAATTGAGCAAAGTCGGCGGCAGTCTGGGCGATCTTAGCGAGTGGGTTGGTGGTGGTAGTGGTGGTGATCTGGAGATCCGGTGGGCTTGGGTGAGTGGCGGAGTCGCAGCCCCCGGCCTCGTGGAGGCAGGTCAGCCACATTGCTTTGGTCGTGTCCCATGGCATCGACCGAAGAGTGAAGAGTTGTTTGGAGAGTTCTCGTTGGAGCACGGAGAGGTGCAGGCCGTGGTCGAAGATCGGAGGGGGCAGCTGGTCTCCAAACAGCGGCAGCAAGCCCGGGTCGATAGGCTCGAGCTGCAGGAGCGGGAGATGCTCGGTCGGGCTGGTGTCCATCATCGGGTCATTCAGCCACGCTGCTGGGGAGGGTCCATCTGGGGGCGTAGATGGGGAGGACATAGTGTGGATGGTCGCACTGCCATCAATGGGGAACCCGGCATCGATGGAGTTCCACGGAGCATTGCTCATCTCGTAGTCGGCGTCCAGCAGTTCGAGATTGAACCAGTCGTCCACACTGGCCAGAGCGTGGAGATCCACCGTGGGAAGAGGTGGACTCGGATTGCGAGGGCTGTGCATATTATCATTGTTACATTTCGTTCGATCCGACCCGGTGGTCTGCCGCGAAGCAGTGGTCGAGTTTCTCGGGCGACCCGGCCGCTTGGATGAACTGGTTACACATTCCATCTGGGATCGAACGCATCGAATGCACGAGTCGGCGGGGTGGCCGGGGGCACGAACACAGCGCAACTTCTGCGTCCTGCAGCGGTCACAGGCAGCTCGTTTGGGGGGGTTACTGGAGTCCGACATTGTGAGGGTGCATGCGGTATCAATCGGTCAACCTTTCAGTGTAGTGTCAAAGTCTACTGTCAATGTACCATCTCTGCTGATTCTTATATCTCGAGTACAATATCACCAGCTCTATAGGGTCATACTATGAGACATTGTCTTCTGATTTTGCTTTTCTTTCCTCCAGCACCACATTCCGTGCGGAGTACTGATCGACGGTCCGTTCTGCAGGCGATGAGATTGATAACCATTCAACTCAGGGCTCTCAATACTCCGTTGGGTGATTCAAACCGACATAAGCCAGACTGGACTCTTATCGCGGCTGCTGCAATCCCCGAGGACTTTCCATTGGCAGTTCATGAGCTCATTTACGGCCAAAGTACCTACATCCACCAGCAAACAGGCAACTGTCCCGGCCTACCCGTGAACGGATGGGGGAACCCTATCTTCTAGGTGTCCATATCTTCGCCGCTCTGTCTCCGACTCTGCAGCAGCCCAAGGAACCATGACGAAAGTCAATGCGTCCTGAAGTAAGCACTAAGGCGGGGAATCAAGCCCCCAGGCTGAAAGCGATGTTGCGGAGGGGGTAGACAGGCCTGGCTATAGTGGCTTGGGGCTAGAGGCACGATCCGGCCCTCTAATGGAGGACACTGCACATATGGGATCGGGAGATCTTCTGATGAGTCTTTTTGAGTTCGCCTATGGATTGCAGTGGGTCTTCCTCTCTGTTTCCAGACACGAGGCGCCGTCTACAATGACTATCATCTAATGGAGTGCCGCCCACTGTGGCGAGCCCGTGCGGATCAGCCGGCCGCACGGTCGCTCCCGCCTCAAATGTCATTTATTGTCGATGCCCTCTGCAAAAGTGATGTCGTATCAGTGCTAACTCAATTGAGGAATTCCTCATGTATCGGACCAATTACTACTCCGGAATCAGCAACTTGGAAGATCCGCGCAGGGTCCAGAACCGGCACGAGAACCGGCACGAGAATAGGGGCATGGCAGTTCAGGCGACGCGGCGATTAGCTCCCGCCTCGGCGTCGATCTTCTTCGGCTGGGAAAGATTCTTCTCTGGGCATAGAATAGACAAGATACAATTCTCATGGGGGAATGGACAGGGAATCGTTCCAAGCGACGGAGATTGTCAGACGCGAGGGTATTGAATGAAGCACGATACTCCTCTTTCATCGATTCCCCAACTCCTGAACGATTACTCGTTGTGGACCAGAAGGACGGGAAAGTGGTGATCGACGACTAAAGGGAAGACTGCATGACCTCATGGCGATCACTGGGCTTACATTACTTGATTGGTGGTTCTACCATCATCTCAAGTAAACTATATGATGATCATGTATTCTGCATTGACTCTGCAGAGTGCTGACGACTGTGGAGCCAAGGCTGTCGAGGCTGGATGGGGACGGGGCATCCTGCAGTGGCCGTCTAAAGAGGTCCGTCCAGCTTAGGGCTTACACGCTCGGGTCTGTACAAGCCAACGCAACGACATAGTTAATGGCTTTGTTGGTGGTGAAACAACGTGGTATGGCTACTGGGCAGTCGCCCCTGGCCTCTTGAGTTACATCGCGAACCCTGGCCCATACACTTTAACTGCCTCTGGTAAGATGTTACACTGAGCATGCATGCATATCCTCAGAAGATAGCCGGGTAGCTAATCCTGCATCGTTCGTTCTCCATCAGACAAATGGAGCTGCACCCTCGACAAAGGTACCCCCTCTTGAATAATTCTTCTCATCCCACCGAACCACGTGGAGGGCTGGGGCTACCCGGGCCGACTACGCTTCCCACTCAATCACTCAATACTACAACTACACACAGCGAATCTCCAGCAGACCATGACATCAGCCGACACTGTGCAGCAGTTGCCAAAACTTGTATGTCTGCCAAAACCCTCCGAATGACCATGAAACTCCCGATGTTGTCCGACCGACGGAGCGGGGTAACTCCGACCGCTAAGCCCGAAAGACAGCAGCCCTAATTCGCAACTAATGCAGCCGGTCTTGGGAATCACATCACAGCTCGGCCAGGCGGCGGAGCAAACCTGACGGCGGCCTCCGCAAGCAAACTTCAGATGGCCAGGCATAAAGTCTGGAATCATCCTCCAGGAAGCACTATCGTTTTCATCATCAGCACTTCTCCAATCCACTTCCCTTGCATTGCTCAATCGCCCCATCAACAAGATGAATCCCGTCAACACCAAGCCCTACCAGCTCCCCGCTGATGCCACCTGGTTCAGTATGCCGCCCCATCCCCACCGTCCTGGCATAGCCCACTGACACACACAGTAACCGGCTGCTCCAGCGGCATCGGACGCGCGCTGGCCACGCACGTTGCCGCTCAACCCGGCCACCGGCTCATCGCGACCGCCCGCAACCCTGCCAGCCTCTCCTACCTGCCCGACGACAACCCGGCCATCCTCAAGCTCGCGCTGGACGTGACCTCCCCCGCGGCGGTGGACGCTGCCTTCCAGGCCGCAGCGGCCCACTTTGGGGAGAGCTACTACATTGACGTGTTGGTCAACAATGCCGGCTACCCGCTGTCCGGTGACAGCGAGGCCGTGACCGAGGCGGAGATGCACGACGAGTTCGAGACCAACTTCTTCGGGACGGTGCGCGTCGCCCTGAAGGCCATTGCGGTGATGCGGCAGTCGCCCACGCGCCGGGGTGGGCTCATCTTCAACGTCTCTTCCGTGGCGGGTGTGTGCGCCTTTCCGGGCCATGCTTTCTACCACGCCAGCAAGTTCGCGGTCGAGGGGTGGACCGAGTCGGTGGCACGAGAAGTGCACCCTGATTGGAACAGTATGTTTTCCCCTTACCCTCCTTGGATGATGGGGCAGAGTGTAGTGTGCTGACAGTCGGAAGTCAACTTCTGCATCGTCGAGCCCGGCGCGGTCAAGACCAACTTCGAGACGACCAGCAAGAAGCACATCAAGCCGCACGAGGCCTACGCCGCTCCCGATCTGCCGGCCAGGCAGCTCGAGGTGTTTGTGAAGAAGGGGCTCGAGGCAGGCGTCGGAGTGCAGCCCGAGCAGGTGGCGCAGGTGCTGTATCAGGTGGCGGCCCGCGGGGAGAAGGTCCCGCTGTGGTTGCCGCTGAGCGGGACGGCCATCATGCTCATCACAGCCAAACTGCAGGGCAGACTGCAGGAGTTGGAGACTAACAAGGAGCTGAGTGCGATCGACAAGGATCAGGCCCAGTTCAAGCTTAACTAGAGTGTCTGGTTTGCCTGGGGTTGTCCTCGGGACCTATGTTGGCATAACTCCCTGTTAGAGTGATGGAGCCACTGTAGATGACTTGGACACAGGTACGGAGTAAATGCGTCTCAATCTAACCTGGGAAGAATCCAAATATCAAGATTTTCAATCAGAGAACCTTTGTACAGGATAGAGTACCATGCATTAAGTCTTGGACCAGCCCTTCGAGCCGACAGGGTCGCTCTAGAGAGTAGCGTTGTTCGCGGATAAATTGTACTGTACCTTTCGATAGATATATATCTAATTGACTCACAATACTACCTATCGCGCAATCGGTAAATTTAGAACAGAGCCTATCTTATTGACAGATTTATGCAATACCTAGACACTCGATCACTTGTAACATCCAGACTTTGAACAGACCGCTGGTTTACTCGAAGGATGGCAGACCCTGTTCACGATAGTGGTTCCGGGTCAATGCCAGCCTGAGGCAGCATTAAGGCTGCAACGGGACCGATCGGGCCAAATCGGAGGATTAACTCTGGAAGGCTGGAGTTTTGCCCCGAGAGCGGTGAGAGTTCTGGACTCACGATGGCCGAGCAGCACCACGTGACCGTAGTGCACAGCTTAGTCAGCGACCTTTGATCTGCGGCATAATTTCTTCATGTTCGCCATTCCAAGAACAGCACCGTCACCACCCCATACCATGTTGAAAACACTGCTCATGCGCTGGAGACGCTGCATGCTGTGAGTTCATATCATACCGCCTGGGCCAGAAGCAAGAGCCGCCTCAAAGCATCGCGCTTATCGTACCAGACGCACTTCACTGCCCCGCGCACCTGGCCAGGCAGCTCGAGCACTATGACGCACGCATGACTGAATGATGTGGTAGTCTGGGCCTGCCATATAAAACCTGGTTTACACACTCGACTTTTCCCAGCCAGATTGTCAAACCACTTTCCTCTGCAGATCGCTCACGCACAGACCCTGTAAATTGAATCATGTCGTCGCAAATGGGCAAAGATGGGACCTTCCAGCCCCCGCAGGCAAAACAGGCTCAGAGCAAGCCGGGGTGTGTTTCCACCTTCGCAAGCAATGGAGCACAGCAGAGACTAACACGTCGAGTAGTCTAGAGAAGGAGATGGCACCATCCAGCGAGTCCACCAAGCTGGAAGGCAGCGAGGGCTTCGTCGAATACACGGGCTCCAACAAGCTCAAGGACAAGAAGGTCCTGATCACGGGCGGAGAGTGAGTCTTTCAAGCTGGTGCAATTGTGCCATACTGACAGTCTAACACAGCTCCGGAATCGGTCGCTCGGTCGCTGCGCTGATGGCCCGCGAAGGGGCTGACATCACCATCGTATACTTGCCCGAGGAACAGGAGGATGCGGAACACACCAAGCAATTGGTCGAGAAGGAAGGGCGCAGTTGTCTCCTGGTGCCAGGTGATTTGCGGAAGAATGAAACGTGCAAGAAGGCCGTGGAGGAACATGTGAACAAGTATGCTGGCTTCAGTCGGTCTTCCTCAGGCTACGGGACTAACGCCGCTGTCGTGCTCCTGTAGGTTCAAGCATATCAACGTTCTCGTGAACAACGCATCGAAGCAATACATGTGCAAGGACCTGGCCGAGATCGATCTCGATAAGGTCGAGGACACCTTCCGCACCAATATCCTGCAGATGATTGCCATCACCAAATACGCGCTCCCACATATGTCCAAGGGAGATTCGTAAGTCTTCCCATTGCAACCGCACGATTCTAGAGGGCTAATCTATCTTCTGCAGGATTATCAACAACACATCCGTCACCACCTTCCGCGGCTCCGGCACGATGGTCGATTACGCATCAACCAAGGGGGCGATTGTGGGCTTTACCCGGTCCCTCGCCTTGCAGCTGATGCCCAAGGGTATCCGGGTAAACGCGGTCGCGTATGTTCTTTTCCCTTACCCTTTCACCGCGATTGTCTGTATTCTGGACTAACAGTGGCGACAGACCTGGTTCCGTGTATACCCCCATCCAGATCGATACCAGAGATGCCGAGTCCATGGAGGGATGGGCCTCCGGCAAGCCGCTGGGTCGTCCGGGACAGCCCTCTGAGGTGGCAACGAGTTTCGTGTTCCTGGCTAGCAAGGACGCGTCTTTCTATTGTGAGTCACTTTGGATCCTTGCTCTATGAAGACTCGGGGCTGTTACTAATGTCTTCGCAGCGGGACAAGTTCTGCATTGTTACCCTCTCGGAGAGTAGTGGCAGACATGATTGGATGAATTGAAATGTATATTCCGAAGAAACGACAATAATATTGGGTAGTAATTTAATTTCACTCACAGAATAGTGGCAAAGTCCTCAGCACTTACTGAGTTGGCTTATCACCGAATCATGCGTGGTCCGTGGTGCCAAGTCGGGAGTGCTGCTGCGGGCACTTGTATGTGTGGCGTGCCATGTGCCATGTGCCAGGGAGTGCGTGGGGCAGGTTGCAGTGCTTGTCAGCCTCAGTGTTTCAGACTATTAGTTGATCGGTTGATACTCGTCACCTGCAGAGGAAGGTATTCCATACCAGGCAGAGATTATCTTCTCAATTCTTGCAGCTGTTCTCGACAATAAAGAGCACAGGAGGAGACGTCTGATGTAGGGTTCTCCCAGGACCGGTGGCAGTGGCACAGAGACAGCGACGAGCAAGAACCTGCCTCAGGAATAAGTGTCAGTGTACGTGATTCTTCGACTTGTTGAGCCAATTCATGTGTTGGTGGGGATTAGCTAGACAAAATCGGGCAGGACCCCTGGCATCTTCTGACACTTCTGCGGCTGCATTACTGCATGCACTCCTGTCTCCTTTCCGGCCAAACGTGGATCCCACTTCCTCTGCGCCAGTCCACTCGTCTCGATCGATGCTTGTCTAGTGATTGACCCAGGGGATGCAGTGGGGCGAGGCTCGTATGCACGGGCCAGGCTAATATCTGAGTCCGGGTGCGGATTAGTCACCAGACCTGTCCATAAGTTACAACTCGCAATGGCTGCGTTGATTCAAGCTTAATGCATGGTAGCATCCTGTGTTGGCATCATCCAGTTGACGCTCAGGGGGCCTCATCTTGGAGATATTGACAGGCGGGTGGTAATTTCAACACGAAGTCGTAGATTGTGTGTGTCTCACTGCCGCCCAACGACGGCGCTGGAGGCCTGAACTAAGTGGGTCTAGCAGACTAATCAGTAATTATGAATGTATTCTTGCAGAGTCAGGTACCAGGCACTAAGCTCACTAAGTGACTACCCAATGGGGTAGCTGAAGGGTGAAGGGGTCAACCGAGTGGGGCAGAAATATACTAATCATGATCGTGCCTTACTAGAACCAGGTAGTTAGGGCTATCTGACTATCTACAAATCCAGACTAAAGCCCGGTTCAGCCGTGAACGGCGTGAACGGCGTGAGGAAGAGTGATTGGTGCTCTTCAAGGCCAATCCGCACTGCTTCACGCTAGTCCGCACGCGATCTCAGGGCTAATGAAGAAAACACCATTTGAAGAACCCTCACGGTCTTTAACCGAGATTGCAATGTCGCATTGCTCCAATCTCCTGGGTCTCCGGGCTGGATGAGCTGACCACCATGGAGATTTTGCGTTCCATGAGAACTTCAGCTTGCCTGGAAAGGGAAACTGGTCGTATACACCTTCAGCTGCGATGGACCCTGGATGGACCCTAGATGGACCCTCAACGAGCCCTCCACGAACAGTCCTGGTAGGGCTGCGAGTATATAATCTGCACCCTCAACCCCATGCGTTCAGATGGGAGTCAGGGTCATTCACTGTCATTCTTTTACCCCCAGTCCAGTCCTTCCTTCACCATGGCCAAGCTCAGCTGGCTTCTGACCTCTAGTCTTTCTTTTGCTTGTCTTTCCACAGCACTTCCTGCTCGCTCTCTTTTGAACTCTCAATCTCAATCGCAATCGCAATCTTTTATCTCTCCTACTAACTATAGTTCCTTCAATGTCGATCAGTGGATTCCGTCCGCGGACTATGTTCCGATCAAAGCAGGCATTCCCTTTGTGATCCAGAACAAGACCGCGCAGCCCTGGAACCCTGTCTCGCCTCACTCGCACGGGGGCAACCTGACCTATCCCCACCAGAAGCGAGCCAGCTGCGGCGGTCCCACCCCGGACAGCCCCAGCACGTTCTGGTATGAGAGTATCACCCATAACGGCGAATCCTCCTTCCTCGACTCCTCCTACAAGGCCAACTACAAGGTCTTCCGGAACGTCGTCACCGACTATGGCGCCGACAACACCGGTGCCACCGATGCTTCTACCGCCATTCAAAATGCCATCAAAGGTACGTCGCCCTTGTCATGCAACGACTTATGCACTGTACTGACACTCCAACAGCCGGAGCTTCCAACGGTCCTGACCGCAGCAGCGGCTCCATGGGTACCACCGGCCAGCCCGCCGTGGTATACCTGCCCGCCGGCACGTACAGACTCGACAGCCCCCTGCAGCTCTACGTTGGCACGGTCTTCGTGGGAGATGCTCTAAACCCGCCCACCCTGAAGGCCAGCGCCAGCTTTCCTACCGACCACATTATCTACGGCAAGGACCCCAAGTTGGGCGGAACCATCAACTTCTATATCGGTCTCAAGAACGTGATTATCGACTCCACCAGCGTCTCCACCTCGACTTCCATCACCTTGCTGGATTGGACCGTCTCGCAGGCGACCCAGCTGACCAACGTGGTGTTCAACATGCCCGACAACTCGAACCACGTCGGTGTGACGAGTCAGTACGATTCAAACAGTAACATCATTCTGGTGCGCCGCCTCCCTAGCCCTAATCCCTGAGAGCCATTACTGACCATTCCCTCTGCAGAACGACCTGACCTTCTACGGTGGCGCCATTGCCATGGAGCTCAGCGGTCAGCAGTGGATTCTCAAGGGAATCAACATCAACGGCGCCAACGTCGGTATCAAAGCCGGCGCTTTCGAGCTCGTCTGTCAGGACTGCACGCTCCAGAACGGCGCCACCGGTATCGACGCCAGCAGCATCTCCGGCTCGCTGACGGTGATCGACTCCACGGCCAACTACCTGGGCAACATGATCATCTCCTCCAACGCCGGTGGCAGCGCTCAGAACTCCATCATCCTCGACAACGTGGCCTGCACCAACAGCGGCAGCACCGTCTCACTCAACGGCAACGCCGTCCTGACCGGCTCCGTCACCAACACCTGGGTCCACGGCAACCTGTACTCCGGTGGCGCGACCTCCGCCGCCTACGAGCAGGGACTGAGCGTGACCACCGCGCGTGCCGACGTCCTCCTCGACTCCAACGGCAAATACTTCACCATGGCTCCGCCCACCTACTCCCAATACTCGGCCAACCAGTTCATCAACATCAAGAGCGTCTCCGGACTTCCTGTGTACGGCGACGGCGCGACGGACGATACTGCCAACATCAACGCCATCCTGGCGCAGTACGCCGGCTGCAAGATCATCTACTTCCCCGCCGGTACCTATATTGTCACCGACACCATCCTGATCCCCTCAGGCTCCATCATCATCGGCGACGCCTACGCCTCCGCCATCAGCGCCACCGGCGGTAACTTCTATAACCCCGATGCCCCCACGACCATGGTCCAAGTCGGCAACTCCGGCGACGTGGGCACCGCCCAGATCTCAGACATGCTCTTCACCGTTGCGGACGTGCTGCAGGGCTGCAAGCTGGTCGAGGTCAACATCGCCGGCTCGACACCGGGAGCCGTGGGTCTGTGGAACTCGCACTTCCGGATCGGCGGCGCCGCCGGCAGCAAGGTGCAGACCAACTGCTACGGCAACCCGGACATCTGCAAGGCCGCATGGGGCCTGCTCCACTTGACGGCGACCTCCTCGGCCTACATCGAGAACATGTGGGGCTGGACGGCCGACCACAACCTCGACGGCAACCTGGAAACCACCACCGTCTCGACCGGCCGCGGTATGCTCGTCGAGGCCACCAAGGGTACCTGGCTCGTCGGTACCGCCATGGAGCACAACACCCTCTACCAGTACAACTTCGAGTACGCGTCTAACGTCCTCAGCTCCTTCCAGCAGAGCGAGACCCCCTACTGGCAGGGCTGGGGCGCCCCCAGCTCCGGCATCGCCCCCGCCCCCTGGACCGACAACCTCATCGCTAGTGACCCCACCTTCAGCGAGTGCGACGCCGACGACGTCGGCTGCCGCATGGCCTTCTTCGAGCGCATCCGCGGATCGAGCAATCTGTTCCTGTACGGCGGCGGTGTTTGGGTGTTCTTCAACCACGGCGGCAGCTGCACGGGCGATTGCCAGGCGAATGCGATCCGCATTCTGTCCAGTGAGGGCAGTGTCTATCTGTACGGCACGAACGTCAAGGCCATCACCAACATCGTGAAGGAGAACAAGGTCGACGCGGCGACTGAGGCTGCCAACTCGGGTGGCTGGGGTGGCGTTGTTGCTGCCTATCTGCACAGTGCCGATGGCGCGACCTCGTCGGGTGGTAGCAGCAGCAGTGGCAGCACTGGTAGCAGTGGCAGCAGCACCAGCAATGGACCTGCGGTGACCGGCAATGGACTCAACTGGTACAGCTCGTCCTTGACCGACGGTGCCACAGCCTACGAGGACCCCGAGTACTACTACTGCTTTGGGGGAGCCGCAGCCAACTTCCCCCCCTTCGCGAACTGGATGGGCTTCACCGAGATGTTCGACCTGAACCAGCAGACCTCGATGGCCTTGGTCGAGGACGGTCCCATCCAGGGCGATATCTGGAACGCCATTGTGCAGGTCTCGGCCGATGCCAAGGTCGATCCGAGATTGGTTCTGGCTGTTGTTATGCAGGAGGTACGTGTTCTTTCAGGTTAAACATTTGTGTCTTCATCACTAACCGAGTTTTCCCACGATTAGTCCAGCGGCAACGTCTATGTCGGCTGCACCAACAACGGAGTCGAAAACTGCGGCCTGATGCAGGCCTACGCCGGCTCCACCTCCTTCGACGCCAGCGACCCGCAGGGCAGCATCACCCAGATGATTGTCGACGGTACCCAGGGCACCTCCGCCGGTGGAGGTCTTGTCCAGTGGTTCAACAACGATAATGTCGGTGCCAACACGGGCGGAAACCCGTATAATGTGCTCCGTGGCTACAACTCGGGCAGCATCAACTTCAACGATCTGGACGATCCCCAGGATGCCACCGGGTCGTATGTCAGCGATATCGCCAATCGCCTGCAGGTGAGCTTTCTTCCGTGGTTCATTCAGCAACTGTTTAGGCTCAGGCTAATGTTTCTTGTAGGGTTGGAACGGAAATGATGGACACGGATACCGGGCTGCTTGTGGATGGTGATCGCGCGGCTGTATAATGAGCACAGTGTAGTCACGTACCTTGCAGCGTCCGAGTCTCGACGGCTTGTTTTCGGGGACGATTGGCGGAGCAAGAGCGACTCTTTAGAATGTGTTCAGACCCGGAATAGAGGGGCAGCTACTTGCGGGCTGATGAATAAAACAAATATAAAAAGTTCTATATCGTCCTGTTCATCGAGAGAACCTGGGCCCCTTTCTCAGACCAAGCATTGTGGCTGAGAAGTTCATTTGTGGCCAATTACCAGCTAAAGCATGCGGGGCTGAAGACCGCGGCTAAGCTTTCTATCAGCCGATCACTGCTGATAGGGTTATGCTCTTGGTCAGCCTGGATATAGGGATCGCGAGTTCCTCAGTTCAGGCACTCCGCCGTTGAGGTAGCGTTGAACCATAGGTGCTAAGCCGCATGGCCTATTCAGGGAGCGTAAATGTCGCAGGACCAGAGCGATTTATCAGGGCTCATGTCGAGTCAGAATTCGCCTGCAAGCAGGCCCGGATCCCCCCGACTTTTGCCTTTCCACTGACCAGGTAACGGAGCAAACGCTGCAGGTTCTGCGTAAATTTAATTCAATCTTGCTTGCGAGAGATATCGTAGCCGCGCGAGAACTCCAGGGGGAATGTTTCAGCTGCCGAACAGCCCTTCGCATGTACCCGTTGGATCTGGCTCAGAGGAAAGAATCCCCGGGCAATGAAGATCTGGCAGCCGAAGAACCCGACAAGGAAGACCCTCCTGGTCCTGCACCTCATGACGGAAGTTACAGGCAAGCTGGCCCAGCATGATGGCCAGGATCTCGCCCACGAATTCACTCCAGGTCTGCCCTGGGAACCACTAGACCTTCACGTTAGGAAGTGGTCGCACAAACCAATCACCTAGGAACACATACCCCAGTGAAGGACGGAATCGGGATTCGTTGACTCTGTAGGCGGGCCGTTACGGCAGACTCGGATCGGGAGGCATATTGCTTACCACCAATGAAGTAGTATTGTTTGGCCTGAGTAGTGTAGCTGTGGGGGAAACCATGAGCTCGAATTCTGAGCGCGACGACGGGCCCTGCTTACCTTATCCATAGAGAGTCCGTGGCATGCGTCCTGAAATAGAGGTGCATGGTAAGAGTCCTGAGAATATGGTCCTGTTTTGTCATGCAGGACTCAAACTCCTCTCGATTGGCATATTTCCAGCTCTTGCGACCGAGAGTGACAGTTTCGGTGTCTCAAGGCGTTCTCCCACTTTATGGTATCGGGAACTCTGTCCGTAGGGATGATGCCAGAATGGCGGCCGGTGGTGTCACCGTCAATCCCCTCTGGCCAAACATAGCGAGCGACGCATGGGTCGTTGAATTGATAAAGCATGGATCGAAAAACATCACTCTCGAGGGGGAGGGGCCAATCGTGGTCGTGGTCGCAATCAAAACCGGCAACATCCCCCTGCTCGAAGACCCGAGGGAGAAAGAGCTCTACACGGCCAGAGATTAGTGGTGAGGTTCTTCGTGCAGGCTGGAGGGTGGGGTGGCTGCTATCCTTACTCTCTTCTTCGGCGGGGGGGGGATGGTGCTAGGAATGAGGCTAGCGACGTCAACGATCTGCGCGGTAATGGTGACTGATATGGTGCAGATGAGAAGAATATAAGCGACAAAGAGGGGACAGAGAGAGCATGGGGAACATATTCTCAAGGAAGCTAGATATAGATGAAAGCGAGCATTGGCAAACGCGAATGGGAAGTGGAGTGGATGCGGTGGATTTACAGAGTACAACTATCCCACCGGGCATGTGACTCGGAAAGCCCAAAAGAGCCTAGCCTGGCGATCAACCCGCCGAATATCGGCCCTCCCTGCATACAATGATATCTCACTATTTTGTTCGCTTCACAATGATGCAGTGGATGCAGAGGTTAGGTAAGGCAAGCAATCTGCTGATATGTTACCGAACTAGTCCTTAGGAGTCCTATACCCCAAGGTCTGGACAATAGATATAGTACACTAGGGCCTTGGTCCGAGGTGTAGCCAACTTGCTTCCTAATTGTTTTGGCGATAAGACATTCATTCTTCTATCTTCTCATCCACTGGGTATACAAAAGTTACCGAAACAGATTTCGTGCCACCGCAGATATAAATACTATTACCCTGGCATGTTGGATGTCCGAGTCCCAAGTCACTATCATGTTGAACTGCAGCTAAGAAACGCAGAACCGCCCTCTCGTCCCTCTACCCCTCTCCCCCATACCATATCTACCACAAATCTAGCCCCCAAAACAGCACACTCACCCACAGAGCCCTAGGTTCAAAGATTATCAAGCTTAACCCTCGACAATCTTGACCTGCAAGATATACGGATCCTGGGTATTGAAATTGATTGTGTGCACGCCCCGGGTGAAGACCGTAAGGTAATACTCGTCCGTCGTTTCATAAAACACGTACGTGCTGCCGAACGACCCTTGCACCTCGGCCACGTTGATGTCCAGCTGGTACGTGTAGATGAGTCCGTCCGCTTTGGTGAATCGATACTTGTCGATGCCAGTCTCGCGCGCGAACACCGTGTCGGTCGCCACCCAGGTGCCGGCTACGGGCCAGCCGGCGTTGTAGGTGCCGGATTTCGCGGCGCTGATGAGTTGGAGAAGGCTGAGGAAGAGGAGGAGGAGGATGTTCATCTTGTTAATCTGGTAGTTTGGTTTCTTTGTTTGATTGGTTGTTTCGTTGCAGTGAGGCACTGAGGGAGGAGATGATTGTTGCTGTTGTTAAGAAGTGCAGTTGGCAATGGACCATGAGGAGATTTATACCCTTCTTCATTACGGTTGTCGGGCAACATGGCGGGCAGGCTCGATGTCACTATTGTGTGATGTCTACCCCAGCTGTATTCAGCTCTCAGCACATCACTGCTGCTCTGGGATGGCTCCACAGCTGATGCACGCTTCATCACATCGCAGGATCAGTGCGGGCAATGCCGATCCGTCGCCTGAACACTGCTCCGGATGATACGGTGTTCAGCCGATCAGCGGGGCGATCTTCATCGCGTGCGCGTCATTGGTCGAGGCTGATGTTGCATTGCAGATTTATAGATTGCTTCCCGAGACATCCCCATCATCGTCACCTCATTGCGACTTGGATGATCGCTGGAGAATGCAGATCAAAGAGGAATGCCCCGTGGTTTGTGGCGGGTCGGATCGAGCCTGCTGGGCGGAGGGGAAGAGATGGGTCTGGCCTCATCGCTAGTTTTCCTGTCCAAGCTCCTTGATTGACTTACTTGATTGGGCCAAATAAGTCAAGATTGCTCCCACTCACATTGGAGAAATCTCTGTCACGGAGGATGACGTGAAGGCCGAAAAGAGATGCAGCCGAGGTCGTCTTCAGAGCTTATACCTCGTACGTTCTAGTGGTCATAGTCTAGCTCGGCATCGATTCATTAATGGCGTGATGAGAGCTGAAAGACGGAGGCCGAGGAGCAACCTGTCGTCGAATAATAACTATCGATCTTCACAAGCAGTGATCCCGACCACAGTGGTATTTACTGCACTGGGCTTTTCCTGTGATAACAAGGCCCACATGACCGCCACTCAGCCTTTCGACCGTCGTGTTCCGCCGCACAATCCTATTCCGACTGAGCGTATCTAGAATGCCCATTCATGAGTGTGGCCTTACCATGATGGGCCGGCGAAGGGTATATGGGGTGCCCGAGCAAGGCCGCTCAAAGGATTGGGCTCCAGGGCTTGCTGCGTTCATTGGAAGTCAATCAGATGCAGTTGAGCCAACCGACAAAGTACCTAGATAAAGTTAGTAATCTCTATCAAAGCAAAAGGCGAGGGATTTGGGGTTCACAAACAGTTTGCGTGCAGATCTATCCCAAACGAGGTTTTCAGCTGTTCCTGCCGCGGGTTCAAAAGCAACAGCAGAACGAAGAGCCCTTGCATAGTTAGGAAACAGAACAAGAGCAGCAACAGTGATACGGACAGCGGGAGCGTAGAAGCCCTACCAGAACTTACAGAAGGGTACACTTGGGTGCATCGCGAATAAGATCTCGTTCCTCATGGGCCAGGTGCCAGAATGGTTTTTCACTGCAGGCGTCCCCCAGGCGAATTCCTGGAACAATGTTCCAGACAATAGTGTGTATAAAGCCACCGGGCATATGGTCTGTGTCTCCTTGCTGTTCCTGCTTACTATCAAGCAGGGCTGGAGTGCACGTTACGGTCTGTCTCGAAAACTGCTGGAAGGCAACCACTTCTAGGGGGGTATGCTGCCTGGCCTACCGAGCACGTTCCCGAGCGCCCTGCGACTCAATTCCCACAATTGCGATTTGTTTCTAGATCTGTATAAAAGCCTGCTGAGTAGCGCCACGGTGAGGCCTGCGTACAAGGAAGCGAGCGCAAGCAAATGGACGAGCATCAAAGTTAGCTGCATCCTCGGGCTCCACAGGGGCGACGTGCTCGTTAATTAAGGATACAATAGTCCACTCAGCAGTGTTCAAGCGGAGTCGAGTCCCCGCTCCATAGTCAGAATTAACAAAGTAGACTGGCTGCGTCATCGTGACAACGGAGTAACAGCAGTGATCTGTGGGGCTGAGGAAAGGTATGGCAAAACGTAGGCGCAACGAGCTGGTGCGCACAAACGGTGAAATACAAGCAGAAGCAGGATGTGTAAATCTGATAAGAAGGTGAGCTGATGATGAGAAAGGCAGTTACGGTGGTGATGGAGGGTGATGGAGGGGGGCCACACAGAAGAGAAGTCCGTGGGATCAGCTGACCTCTTTCGCCCACGATGTTCATTCAATACTTAGTCTTTGAGTAGTAGAAAATTCTAAGAAACAATACATTAAGATGACGCGTATATCATTCACTTCCACAACCTTAACCTATGGGGAGTCACGTGCTATATAAATGACCACCCCTTCGGACTCTACTCCCCATGCGACCGGTGCTCTTCGTTCAACGAGACCTCGTAATCCTGCTCTCGGCTGCCACTCTTCGACGAGGGCTCCAGCCGCGTCAGAGGCAGTTCGCTCTCGGTGTCACGCATGCGCTGGAACGCCCGCGCTGATGCCCCGGACTGTGCCCCAGTCTGAGATGAATATGCCGCTTTGGCCGACGAGAAGACCCCGGGGAAGGCGGCCTTGAATACTGGACGCATCATGGGGACGCAGGCGTTCAGAATGGCAAGGGCAGGTTCAGCGACACTCCAGAAGGCCGCCCAGATCATACTGTACGAGAGGTCGGCGAAGTCGACGGTCGTGAGAACACGGATGCGGATGATGGTAATGGCGGAAATGCTGGCCCTTTTGTCAGTTTTCTGGTTCTTTCTTCGAGTCTTGATGGAAGGGAATGGCAGACGACGTACAATAATCCCATTCCGAATATGCCATACAAGGCCAGCTTGGTGGCCGTCGAGGTCTGCAGTTTCCAGATGTGATGCACGGGCAGGGCCATGATGACCAAGTCGGTAACAAGGTTAAAAGCGCCGATCGTCGAGAATGCCACGTTCATGCTCGCGCAGTGGCCAGGTAGGGTCGAGTTCCAGTTCTTCTCGAAGGGCTGGCAGATCAGGAAAATCTGGAGCATGCTACCCACCCAGTAAGCCGCCGCGCAGCCCATGCACACCCGCGCGGCGATGCGGAACCCGCGCGTGACGAAGATGCGGAGGTAGAAGAAGAGGTAGGAGAATTTGGCGAGCACCATGCAGTTGTAGTAGATGATTTGGTAGACGATGAGCATCTGCGCTCGTCAGTGACCGTTGTCATTGCTAGGACCTGAACATGGAACCCACTTTGAAGATGAGGATGGCGTTTTCGGCGGGAATTGCGGTGATGTGGTGACGCATTCCGACCCGCGCATAGTGGTAGTGCATTGCTAGCATGCCGTAGGTGTTGAGCTGTCCGAGATTCAGTCCGTCAGTCCGCATATCCATAGGGTTCTCGAGGACCTCGTACCATCGACCCGACGATACAAACATCATCCCACCAGATCTTGCTGCGTCGGATGCGCCGCGAGACGAAGCGCAGCACGATCGCCAGAGTGCTCACGGCCACCAGCACCGTGTTGGCGATGAGCTGGTCGCGCACTATGGCATATTCGAAGACATTGTAGAACTGCATGGCCATGCGAACACCTGGGTGCCATGCATGATGGGGGACTTGCAAGACAGAGAGAAATCCAAACCCATCGCGGCCAGGAGTCGTGCGGCAGTTCAGTACTTGAAGAGAATCCGCGTAAAATGCACGTGCAAGAATAACCCAACGATGGGGGCCAGACACCGATGATCATTGCGTTTTGCATCGTTTTGGTTTTTGGCACAACAAGCGAATTTCCCGGACATCCACCGAGGACGGTTCGGTCCTGCGAGTCAGCCAAGTGGAGCCCGGCACTGGCGGATTGTCGCATGGCACAACGGTTTTTGGCAGAGATTGGCATGGCTAAACATGGCTAAACATGGCTAGACATGCCTAGACATGTCAAGGGGCAGAGCCAAAACCACCGGCGCTGTCAACCAAAGTCAACCATGTGGATCGTCCGTTTGTCCCGCAGCCAATCCCAGCCCTAACAACCGCTGCAAAGTCACCAACGCTCCCCAAAGGCGTTGCTCAGCGTTGCCCGGCTCCACCACGCCATGTCAATCTCAATCCTAATTCTGTCTGCAGCCCGTGACAGCGCCCCGTTTTTCTTGATCCTGCACTTGCCTGCACTTGCCTGCTCGGGCTTCGTTCGCCCCTTAGTCTCGGCGACTTAGCAGTATTTCATGCCCCTTCCCCTGCAGCGGTTCCTTTCCCTCGGGCTTTCCTGCCAGATAAATCCCAATCCGACTTCTCGACAAGAATGACTGCCGCTAAATCCTTTGACTACGTGATTGTCGGAGCGGGGACGAGCGGGCTGGTGCTCGCCTCCCGACTCACTGAGGACGCCGACGTCAACGTGCTTTTGATTGAGGCCGGGGCCAACCGCATGGGTGATCCGCGCATCGAGACCCCGGGATTTCTGAGCACGTTGTATGGGAACCCTGACTTCGACTGGGATTATATGAGCGAGCCGCAGGTGTGTAGCAGTACTCGTTCTCTGCTTCGCACTGTAATGTATGCGTACTGACAGTTCACAGGTCCATGTGAACAACCGGCAGATCGCCCAGCCGCGCGGCCGGGTAGTAGGGGGCACCTCAGCCATGAACTTTTCGGTGGTGATGTACCCCTCCGAAAGCAACTTCGCTGCCTGGAAGTCGCTGGGCAACGAGGGCTGGGGCCCCGAGGACATGGCGCCCTACCTCCGCAAATTTCACACTTACACGCCCCCCTCAGAGGCGACGTCGACCTTGCTGTCGCTGGAGCGCTACATGAGTCCGGAGAATCAGGGTACCAGCGGGCCGGTTCCCATCACACTGCCGGATGTCTACGGGCCATTCAACCAGGCCTGGGATGAGGCCTTTGCCCGGTTGGGCTGGTGCACAGATGCGGATCCCATCGCCGGTCGCAAAATTGGCGCTTTCACCGCACCGTTGACGGTTGATGGGAAGACCGGCCAGCGTGGGTATGCGGCGGCGTACTACTCACCGGAGGTAGCGCAGCGGCCGAATTTGGAGTTGTTGACGGAGACGGTGGTGGAGAGGGTGTTGCTGGCAGAGGTGGACGGCGAAGTAATCGCAACCGGTGTGCAGGTTAGATCCAAGGACGGTGAGCGTCGGGAGATTGCGGCTGCACGAGAAGTCATTCTTTGTGCAGGGAGTTTGAATACTCCCCAGCTGCTGGAGTTGTCCGGCATCGGCCAGCGGGAGTTGCTGGAGAAGCACGACATTCCAGTCGTCCTCGAGCGTCCTGGCGTGGGAGAGAATTTGCAGGATCACTGTTTGGCGAGTATCAACTTTGAAGTAGCAGACGACCAAGTGTCCGGCGATATCATGCGGGATCCCAACGTAGTACAGTCGCTGGTCCAGCTCTACGAGCAAACGCGCGGAGGCCCCATGTCCGGCATGCCCATCAGCATGGCATATTTGCCAATGGTCGACCACGAGGGCCAGCTCTCGCGTGACAAAGTCGACGAGTTGCTTTCCAAGCACCTCGATCACCAGGCGGCGGATCTCCTGCCCGCACTGCAGAAGCAATTCGCGCTGCAGCGGGAGCTGCTCCAGGCCGGTCACAACGCCTCCTCGCAGTACATGCTCATGCCGATTCAGACGCACATGCTCCCCGGCGTCACCACGCTCGCTGACGTCCTGGCCAAGTCGCTGCCGGGCAACTATCTCACCGTCATGGTCCTGCACAACCACCCCTTTTCGCGTGGCTCGGTGCACATCTGTTCCGCAAACGTGGAGGACAAGCCCGTCTTCGACCCCAACTACCTCTCCCACCCGCTGGATCTCGAAATTCTAGCACGACACGTCCAGTTCCTGGATCAGATCGTCGCGACGGAGCCGCTTGCGAGCATGCTGAAGCCCCAGTCTCGGATTCCCCAGGGGGTCGTCGATTACAGCGACCTTGAGAAGACCAAAGAGGTGGTCAAGGAGCGCCTATACACCTGCTTCCATCCGGCAGGCACCTGCGCCATGATGCCGGCAGAACTGGGAGGTGTGGTCGACTCCCAGCTGAAAGTTCACGGTACGCGGAACCTGCGCGTGGTCGATGCCAGTATATTCCCCCTAGAACCGGCGGGGAATATCCAGGCTACCGTTTATGCAGTGGCTGAACGCGCGGGCGACCTGATTCGGGGGCATTGATTATTCACAATACTGTACATATTATAGGGCTTGATCTGCCATAGGAACGAGATCCAGAAATGATATGGTTGTCTGCTACCCGTGAATGGAAAATGAGCTGTCTTGGCTACGGAGCTTCGGGCGCGGCCCGTTGCGACCGGGCAGCAGGTTTATTTATTGCGATCATCCATGAAAATCCTTCGACGCCCACATTCCTAGTTCTGCCTAGTCGCTGGCTCGGTGGCTTGTATTCTCCACTGAACACAGGCACACAACTGGTAAAGGGTGGACAGGATGGGTGTGGCGATCCCCCTGCTCTGTGCCTCGCGAATCACCTCGCCCATGATCACTTCGTGCTCCAGGAAGTTGCCCTGGAAAACATGAGTTGATGTATACTTTCATTGCAGGCTTGATGGTGACTCACTTTTGTTATATCCTTCTGCATGCTGGGAAAGATTTTCCTCTCTGGAGGGTTCTTCGCGAGTGTGGTGGCGATGGTCTCTTCAGGGAGGTCAATGCCGGCTGCATGTGCGACCGTCAGAACCTCGGTCATCGCAGGAATTAGCAACGTATCCAGTGCGTTGCCAGCAATCTGGAGGTCACCGGTGCTCAGTCCCGTCAGCGCGGAGATGGGATTGAAGGCCGCGTTGTAGACCAGCTTGCGCCACCGCTCTCGCTGCACGTTCGGTTCGTGATAGCAGTTGGTCTTGCCTCCGGCGCTGTAGATTTCCACGAAGTGAGTCGCTGCGTTTGTTTGGGCACCGCGACTGTCCAAAGGACCACAGAAGGCGCCGATCTGCAGGTTGTCATGATCAATTTGTTCGATCAGACCCGGGGCTATTTCGTGCGCATCGTTGCGGCTGATTCCCGAGAGGATGATGTTCTCCGGAAAGCGTTCGGCGAACAGCTTTTCGATATTCAGCCCGTTCTGGATGAGGACGATGACGGTCTGCGCGGGCGTCACTGCCGGAGCGATGATGTCGCAGATGGAGGGGCCGATATCGGGGATGTTCTTGGTGGTGCAGACGATGTAGTTATACGGCGCCACATCGGCGGAACCGATCACGGGGACCGCGTTGACGACTGGGTATAGGATCAGTATTGTATCGGCATCGAGGGATCTAGGTTGGTCACTCTATATACCGGAGGTTGGACGCCAGTTGCGGATGTGGCCATGGTCACAGGAAAGGATCTCAAATCCCCGATCGGTGACAGTCTGGAAATTGGACCGAAGAATGGCGGTGACTTCGGCTTGGCCACCGCATTCCAGATTGAGGGCAGCAATGGTGCCAATGCCTCCACTACCTAACAGAAGTACGCGAGATTTTGCCATGGTGGTGGTGATAGACCAAGGATCTTTCTGAAACTTCATGAAGATCAGCTGCGGAGAGTGAGGGGAAGCAAGAGGGTCACGTGGCAGGAGCGGGGATTGATCGGAGAGTCGGAGAACCGTTGACCTCGGCTTGAAGTCCAAGGAGCGATGCATTACGCGCATATCTGGACTAGAAAACAGACCCGCAGAAAATGTCCAGGCGCGGATCCCAGAAACTGTCAATGTCCCAGTCCAGCAAGGTATTGAAGTTGTGGACCGGATCGAGCAAGTCTGGAACACCGCTCGCTCCTGCAGGTGCACTCGCCGTCTCACTCGGTGCAATCGATTCCCTCGATGTACCATAGCTAGGATCAATAATCTCATCCAGGATCCGCGTGAACTTGGCCTTGACTTGTTTGCAGAACTCGAAGTTCCCACTTCCCGGTCGGGCCACCCAACTGAGGCAGGAGACATACACCGTCAATTCCCGGATCAGCTCTGCCCGAGAGAAGCCCGGAACACCCGTCAGAGGGGAGGTCGACGAGCGGTGCAGCATTTCGGTGCAGAGGAGCTGGACACTTGGAAGGCCGTATTGAAGGAACTGTTCCTCTGGTTAGTGTTCGGTTGCATCTTGCTGGAAGGCTAGCGGCGAGAGGCATACCAGATGGGTGAAGTCGTTCCGAATCTCTCGGAGTCGCTCGCGTTCGTCGTTGATCACCAGGATGGTGCTTAGAATGTCCTTGGCCACGATGAAAACATTCGTGGACCGGTCTCCTGAGATGAGCCGATGCAACAAGAAGATTGAATGTAGATAATCTAGATTGAGCGTAAGGAGGACCAGAAGTTGATGGCTGTGCATCGAAGTGGGGGCATGCCACATGTCCACCGAGTACTTCATATGGCTTGGACAGGTATCCCACATGACCGCCAGCCTCTGCAACACATCTCTAAGCGAAAATCAGTCGTCTGTCTAACCCAGCAAGTGCTTCGCCGAACGTACTCAGCTTGTCTGACCAGATTGGCGCCAGTCACCCCCAGATGCAGCTCCAAGATTTCCTCGCGGATCTTGGCAAGTAGAAGCCGTAGCCGTATGGTTGTCGCGGGTCGATGCTTTCTATCTACATTCCACCCGTGTTTGTCGATCGATCGAAGGCTTGACTCGTGTTCGTCGGGGTCGGGATCCTCATCAAGATCCAGCGGAGGTTCCAATATGCAATAGTGCCGATTCATCAGTGGCGGGCGACCGAGGGCCGTCGCGATGGTTTTATCCATGGTGTACACCACTGCAAGACATGCCCTGCGCCATTGATGAACAAAGACTGGCGCTTGCTCCCGCGGGACATCATTTCGATGCATGCCGGTCGCATATATACAGGAACATAGCTCTCCCAGCGACGAATACAGCCTGCGACCTATGTCCGTATTAGCCACATGTTGTCGGTGTCATGCCAGAGCCGGGGAACTGACTGGAATCGCCAAATCGACTGACAGCAAGCAGCATCTGGTAGTACTTGAGGGATACGAGTAATTCGTTGACGAGCGGCAGGGCGTCGGTCAGAAGCGACAGGTGTTCGGTGATCTCCAGGACCTGAGGCAGAATCTCACTCTTCCCGCGCTGCTGCGCGTCGATCAGTGTTACCGTGTGCTCAGGGATATGGATCAATGCCAAACTCGCGAGCGTAATGACGGCGCCTATCAGCTCCCACCGAAGATTTACTCCAGTAATAGCCTGGCACAGATCAGGCGCTCTCATCTTATGGGAGGTGGTGAGGGGTTTGTAAGTGTTTTCGAAGATCTGAACCACCATGCGCAGACGGGCAGCATCCTCGCCCATGGAGTGCTGGTCCCAGATATCCCAGAGGTGGCTCAGCGCGGGCAGCATGACTGTTCGTGGGATGATGGGCATCCGACTCAGCCCATAGATGTGCTCAGTCAGACACTTCAGGAGGCGGGACTCTCGACCGAAGAAGTCCAGGATCCGCAACCCCAGCTCAAGCTGTCTGGGTTCAATAGTGTACTTTCCCAACTCTGAAGACGAATCGGAGGTGCCTTGACTCTCCCTCAGAAGGTATCGGTAGCTCGTGGGGCCCAGAAAGCCGGTACTCTCCATCGAGGGGGTGTTGACGACGACTGGCTGAGCGGGCAAGGCATCGCGACTGGTGGCCTCAGGCGACGAGTTCGAAGTGGCTCTGTAGCTAGACGTTTAGCTTCCACGCTCAAGGGGACCAGCACCGGACCAGACAATACTCGCAGTGACACGGAGGAAGCATTCCGCGACCTCGCTTGAATGGGATCAGGGCCACGGTGAAAGGGGCGAAATGTCTTGGTCATTGGGGCGACCAGATACACACAGGCGATGTTCTTGGCGGTGCAACGGCCGCAATTGGGCCACCCGTGGTCGCATCGCGTCTTGAGCTTGCGACATGGCTCGCAGGCTTGCCGTCGACCGTTTCGCCGTAAGGACTGGGGTGAAGGAGAGTCCATGTACGTGATGTGATGCAGCTGGGTTGAAAGATACGGGGAGGTGTTGTGGTGATGATTTAGTCAGATTGAAGAGAGATCCGGCCCCGGCCCGGCGTTAGTCTTCCACTAAGTCCGAATCACGTGCTTCATGGCCTGCACCACCGCGTAGATGCCTCAGGCGGCGGCAGTAAGGCTGACAGGCTAGCCAGATTGGGACGGGGATGTTTCCAGCCTGTGCCTAAAGGGTGATTGTGGGTGAATTGATCATCATCCTTCCTTCATGCTACTTTCACCTCAAATGCGAATGTGACTACCTGAATTACTCCGGATACGAGCTTGAAAAGACCCTGATGGCTTGGCTTGAACCGAGATCACCATCCGCCAAGGTCTTGGGGACTAGCCCCAAGCTACTGACTGGCCTTACCACTCGACAGCCTGCGTACCTCGCCTCAAAGTCAACACAATCCAAAAGAGCCCTGAGCTGTGTAGACGAGAAAGATGACTGGGAGCCGGAATTGAGCGAGATCTCTCACTCGCGCTTCCAGCAAGCATGATACAACTCGACCAACTCTCCTGCCAGACCACTGCATCCGAGGCACCTTGCAGCAAGAGCATCATTCGCGCAGGGCTGAGACTCAAGGCAGGGCAAGCGTGGCCCCTTGCATAAACAAGTTGGACCCTGTCAGCGCGGAAGACGGTTTGCACAGCCGGAATCTGCCCTGAAGGCGCGCCGATGCAGCTATCGGGGGCCGAAGGGTCGTTGGCCCCCAATCCTCCGGGGCCGTTTGAGAGACATTCTGCTGCACCGGATACAAACCTCAACGGAGCTACAACTGCAGACGCCAAGTCGTGCTGTGCAACAGGGATATAAAGACGGCCAGATACGTCTCGGTTGAGGTTCAATCCATCACACATTCATCTCATCTCTCGGCTTCTAGCATCACAGTCACTCCTTTACAGCTCCACTGTGTGGATCACCGTCACTCTTTCATTCCACTCTGTCAATCAGCTTTTCTAGACTTTACTCAAATTCAACATGAAGCTCTCGATCGGAAGCGTTCTCGCCGTCGCCCTGACCGTGGCCAGCTCCGTGACTGCCGCTCCCGCCGCAGTGGAGGAGCGAGCCCTGCAGGAGCGTGCGTCGAACATCATCATCGGCTACCGCACTGTGAGCAAAGTACGACGCTTCAAGGCCTATATTCATCCACACTCTTTATAATTTGATCCTGACAATCCCCTCAGGACCAAGCCGCTAAGTACAACAAAGCCGGCACCCTCACCTATGAGAGCAACCGCGCCAACATCCAGCTGGGCGAGGGCACTTATCTGACCGCCAACCGCGGAGGATGGGCTGGTTCCGCCACCGACTGGTAAGCAATACCTCCCCCTTACCCTTTATACGACCATCACTGATTAAGGAAAGGTACTGCGTCATCTACGCCGACAAGACCAAGTTCGCCGCGGCGACCAAGGCCTGGATCCCCAAGACATACGGCAATGAGGGCGAGATCTGGTACAAGAAGGACAAGATCGACGCCTACATCAAGGCGGAGAAGAGCACCTGGGACCCCGCCGAAACTGTCCGCGTCTCCAAGATCGACGGCGACGCCCACACCTACCAGCTTGTCGTGCCACCCAAGCTCTCGGGCAGCAAGAGTCTGCTCGGAAAATGGAGCAAGGGCCCGCTGGATATCTCCGTCACTTGTACCGAGAAGAAGGAGAGTCTGCCGGATTCGACGGTGAACTATGCTACCTTCAACAACATTGTAGGAACGGCGCAGTAGGAGACAGCGCCGTCTGGAGGAGGGAGTTTGTTAAGTGTGGCTGTCGTGCTGAAGGGACGAGTTCGAGGGCCGGGCTCTACTTAGGGATATCTGAGTAGTGTTTGAAATCGTTGACTTAGGTTGTAATCATCTCACCCTGATGGAAATGATAGTTGTCTACGCTGTTGTTCAAGAAGCATGCTCTGGAGGGACCTAGTCACTTGGTTTTGCAAGAATGGAGTGGACAGGATTTTATTTCAGCACAACTGTATCAATCGAGACAGAGGACCAGATTCCTAAACTAATTGCCAAGAGGAGAAACGAATGAAAGGAGTAAGTCACAAGTAGACAGATGCGGACCATTGTAGATGTGAAAAGAACCAACGGGATCCCCCCACACCGATATTCACAACAAGCCCCCACTCCGTCGGATTTGAATTCGATAGCAGCCGTCTTCTGGCCATTTACTGTTCAGAGATGTAAACGGTGGTAGGGGCAGAAGCGGTGCAGACGCGGCCGCTGCCGTTGCTCTTGCAGTTGAGGAAGAGGTTACCGACGCCCCACTGTCCAGGCGAGTACTCGCCAGAGCCCCTGTCACATTCATTAGTCGTTGATTTTTGGGTCTCATTTGGTTTGTGTATGACTATCAGGACAGGTAGACTCAAGGCTAGGCTGGTACTTACAGATCGCCGTACGAGTACATGATAGCAACCTCAAAGCTCGAGAGACCGGAATCAATGAGGTTGAACAGGTACTTGCTGTCGCTGCAAGCAGTGGCGGCAGTGGACAGGTAGGTGAGCTTGGGGTTCTGAGCCGTGCAGCTCACATGCTTGTCGCCATCCGCCAGCTTGAAGGTGACATCGGTCACCTTGTTGTCGGCGCTGATGTCAATCTTAGCGTCGGTGACCGTCAGGGTTCCGGTGGTGGCATCGGCGTCGTCCCACTTGGAGGGAGCAGCGAAGGCAGCAGAGTAGCCAAGAATGGCGGTAGCGATAACGGAAGTGAACTTCATGTTGATGGTCGAGGGAAAGAGATCTGTAAAAGGTCTTGAAGTTTTGGGGCTTTGGAATTCAGATGATGCGGTTGATGATGATGGTGAAGTAGGATTGAAGGTGGTGCTACAAGCACCTCTTTATACCTCCCTCATCAACCCCAAAGTGAGTACCTTCTCGGTGTCCCCAAGTCGCTCTGGACAATACATTTGATGAATACAACCTCACACCTGGTCGCCGTGGAGGGTATTCGAGAACCTTGGAGTCGGATCATTCGATGTGCAGAGTCTCTGAGCCTGCAATCACTAAATCATAGCCAATCGAGACCCACTGAGATCTTTTGGATACGGAAACTGTTTCCCCATTCAGAGACAACTCCGTTTGACCCAGCATTACATAGTAGGAAGTTATGCTTGTACAGTACAAGGAAGGTGACACTCAATGTATGATATGCATCTATTCTTATCATTACTTGGTTCCAGACATTCCAGTGAATACCTACACGTCTCTCATGTCTAGTAGCTGAATGGCTTCTTATTGGATTTCCGTTAATGTATACATGGTTTTCAGCTAGTTGGCGAACGCCAATAGTACGTGTACAAGCCCAGCCACCTATCAGGGCTGGCTTACAACAATAACAATAGGTGACTTTGACTGTTGAGGCAAAGTCTTGTCATTGAGCCGCAGGGTCCTCGCGGATATATTGATGTCTTAACAGAGGTGGATCCGCGTGAAGACCCTGTCTCGAATTGCCCCCACTACCCGGGCATAGAATGTTGGCGGCCTAGATGTGGCCTGTAGACCCTGAATCGGACAACCATTACTGATTGAAAACTCTGAATCATCCATGGCAGTAAATAACGCAGGACCAAAGTGTGTATTTCCTCTGCGTCGTTGATTATAAATCCCCCAGAAGCAAGAGGGTTTGATAAACGGGACCTGTTCAATCACCGTGGACCGGAGTAATGGTTACCTGACTCGCAGCCGTGGTCAAGAAACATTAGGGTTTGAACGAAGAGAATATCAAGGACACTTTCAGTCAGAGCTCGAATCCTTCTTCACGACCGATATTGATCATTGGAGATCTTTCCCCTCGTAGGGTCGGTAGTGCCTTGTAGCAGCATAGCATAGATGGCGAACAAGTCGAAATGCATATTCATTATTCTCTATTCAACCTGTCACGAACCCACATCCAAGCAGCAGAGACCACCTGGAGATTGCTACAACCCACACATGGTGGGTCTCCCACCAGGCAGAAACCTCTTCAAAAAGGAGAAAAGCCGGATGTGTCGGAACCTGATTAAGCAATAGACAAACTTGTCCCGGCTGGACGAGTTCATGTCGAGTGCAGCCACACCAGAAGACTTGTGTGCAGTAGCAGAAGAGGAGCACGAGCTCTTCGGCATTGAAAATACATTCTCAGTCGAATATGGCGGTCTTTCCTGCTGTATAGAGGCCGCCCAATCCTCTTCCCGTACACGTGAATGATGTGCTTTTGGAGACCAGGGTCATGGGATCCAAGCTGCCTGTGTTGAATCTTAGGCGACGACAGACCGAGCACTATGCAAGCACCGCTGCTCGGGACTCGGATACCTTGCTACGACAAGAGAGCACTCATGCATCAGGGAAAAGATACGCACAAGAACTAATCGAACTGCTGGACTACAGGGTCTTTTCATAAGGCGCTCCACTCCACCCTGTGGCGACAGCGTGAGGTTGAGATACAATGGTTAAGGCACAAATGAACATGATGAGGCAGGAATGGAAAGTAGGTAATCTAGGGGATAAACCGAGAATCTCCGATTGGGTGAGTGACGGCCACAGAGTAACGCCAAATCAGGGTTGCTTCCTTGGGGCTGAACCGGCAATGGAGGTTGGATGTGCCCCTTGAGCACGATTGCGTGGTCTTCGCCATGTGCGCTATGATCATCTCGCGATCATCGTCAAGGCGGAGAATCATGCCATCACTTGTGCATTCAACTAGCAGCAGCATTCGAAGCAGAGAATACCGGCGCAGCTGACGAAGTCAGAAAGGTCTAGCTTTTTGAGAATGTAGCCACTTAGCTCCTTGCCTGGACTCATTGACTTACATGCCACAGCATACATCACCAGAGTCACCACCGCGTAGCGTCATGTTCTCCTGCAAATCCTACATTGCGAAGCCCGGATTAGCCACGTGGTTCCAGAACAACAAGCGGCCCGGCTGCTCGGAGTAGAATCAACAAGGCGATGTGCGTACAGGCTGCTCAGTAACCACACTTTCGGTGGAGGGAGGGTTAGGGCTGGTGAACTGGTGGTTCTGGATGGAGGCTGTGGTTGCATCCCAGGTAGCGCTGTTAGTGGGCTCCTGCTTCGAAAAAGAAAACCAGCTGAAGAGACTGTCGCCAAGCATCTTGGTGGTGTGTGAATCGAGATCCTGTGCGACTCAAGATTGGATTCAACAGAGAAAGCAAACGGTGGAGGAACAATATGGGAGGGAGTTGGAACTAGTGAGCCTGGCAATGCAGGAAGGTAAGCCAGGCGGGGGATGGAATGGGATACGGGGGAGTAATTCTTTCTATACCTTAGCAGGCCAGGCATCCACCAAAGCCAGAGCAAGCCAGAGCGAGCCAGAGCAAGCCCGAGACAAAAGCTCCACGTTTGTCAACGGCTATTTCGGCCTCAGCCAACAACCGATGAACGGTCAGCGCCAACTTGGAACCTTGAAGTCATAGATCTGCCCTCGGGGTATAAAGCTCTAGGTGTGGGGCGGTGGCTGGGTTGTACACTCTTGTTATGCTTCTTCGGGCTAGCAGCGTAAGCAACTTTGTGCGTTGTTACATAAAATCATGCAGTAGCTTCAAGCCGGGCCCACTTCTGGCTTACAGTCCTCCACACATCTGCCGAACAGCATATTGTCCTCCGTACTCCGTACCACTTGTCCACCACTTCTACCACACAACACGGTTCTCTTCAGCTTAGCTTCAACATAGAAATCCTGGAGAATCATTCACATGATTCAAAGTTTCCAGTTTTTCCAGATTTCCCACAATACCCAAAAATAGAAAGTAAAGATTTTTCCATATAACAATGCACATAACTCACTCTTTTTACAATAGAGAACTATTTGATCTTTTAGATTAGGGCGACAATCCCTATAACGCTATTGTTACCCCGACGCGTCTCTAGTAAGTAAGTGAAATGAGCCCGTTGTTGAACAAATAAATAAGACAGCAACAATTCTCCATATGTACCTCTATAAGCACTTCTCTACGTACGGAAGGAAATAAGGCCTCGTCAAATGTTCTTTCAAAAACCTCATATCTTAGGCTTTCGACGGCTCTGCAGCATTGAACTGACTAGAGTGAATTTGCTGAAACTGAAATACTTCCTGTTGTCTTCTAGACAAAGTCTAGTAAATCAAAGTTTAGCTCTTCTAGTGAAAATGGAACGCTTCCCCGGAAGAAAATAAGCGTTCTTGTTGATTCAGTGATGGTGGTGGAAATATATATTAGATATCGGAGTTTGGTGGTTCTGAATGGACAGCTACAGGGGATAAAGAACCGAGGCCTTGGATTTATATTAATCAGGAGTAGAAGAAACTAGCTACGGCTACTGGAGTATTTTACACTCCATACGATATACGACCCAGCGATCCAAGGCCACATACGCCAACAGGTGGGAAGGTGTGAGGTGTTCGGCAGGTACGTGGGGGACTCGAGGTACGGTACAAAATCATGATGTAAACAATCGCTCTAACCTCTTCGCCAGCCACACACACTTATTGTCCACATAGAGAGTGTAGTAATGCGACGCAAGAATAACTACCCCCCCCAAAACAATCCCAGACCCCCACCAGGCCACATGAAAGGCAAATGGATCATCTCGCAGGGCCTCCGCACTAGTCAGGTATGGGTTCCCGCTCGCCATCAGATACACAAAGTCTCGCAGGGGATTGCGCCACAATTGATAGATGGTCTCATGGAGCAGATACAGCGAGAACGAGATCTTGCCCAGATACTGCACGAGGCGAGTGTTGAGGGGCCATTGCAGCCACGGGGACTGGGCGATCGCATACACCAGGCACGCGGCGCCCACGGACTTCCAGCACCATTGGTAGATCTCCCACCGGTCCTTCCACTTTGCAGGCTGGACGGTAGCGAGGAACTGGTAGCCCGGGGGCAGCTGGCCGTCGCTGCCAAGACAGAGGAGATAGTATCCGACCACAAAACTGAGAAGGGTGATCATTCGGGAAAGAGTGAAAAGCTCTCGTAGCGAGGATCGGATCCTGCATCGCGTGGTGGTACAGGACGGGCGGGACAGCTTCTCCTCGTCGTCGTGGTCGTCATCTGCCATCGCGTTCGCCACAGGCGTAGTGTTGATCGCCCGCTCCGCCAGCCACAGGCCCCAGATGAATCCGAAGATGTCCCAGTTGCCAGCCCATAGGAAGAATCCAGCCAGGAGTGGCAGTGCCCAGAGTCGGAGCTTGGGACGCCATGCCGACAGCCCAACGGTCAAGAGATACACCACGTTGGATCCCCGGAATTCGAGCGGCATGGTCCACAGTTGGCCGTTCAGACCACCGCGATACTCAAATGCGATGACATTGATGCTATCGGCCATGTAGCCACACAGCCATCTGATGTGGGCCCACGGATTGGTCCAGGGTTGGAGTCCATCGAGAAACCCGTCATCGAACGTCCAGTGATACAGATCGAAAAAGAATAGGACCTGGCTCAGAGTGGCCAGGACCAATACCGGCAGATAGATGCGAAAGAGGCGCCGGACGATGGCGGAGGTCACTCGCGGCAGAAACTGCGGGCTGTGGCGGGCTTTGAGCAGACCGACGGAGATGGCAAAGCCGGAAATCACCATGAACAGAGTCACCATCGAATGGGCGGAGAAAAGAATGCGGATGGGAGGCAGCTGCACCAAGTGCCGGTTGGTCTCGGGGGGATCGGCCCAGAAGGAGACGAAAGGGTGCCAGACATCGCTCATGAAGTAGTGGTCAAAGGCCACAATCGCCGCTGCGATGCCACGGAGGCCATCCAGCCACTGGATGCGGTCGTGGGCAGTCATTCTATACAGGCAGAATTCGAGTTGGACATTGTCGACCGACGATTTAGGTCACTGTCGCAAAGGCATGGATGAATCTTCAGCGGCTGAACCCCTTTTTAAGCACCATCTCGTATTGAGGCTCGGCAAGACCCTGAAAATGGAGTCAGCCTCACCAATTGTGAACACGAGGGAACCTTGAAGGGCACTAGTCTTCGCAAAAGGGGACTATCAGTGGCTGGAAACCTAGGCAAGCAGGCACCCAAACTGCTTTAATTAGAGTCTGCAAATTGCAGCCATGGATTTGGGCAGTGCACAGGCCCACGTCCAGGCTCCTTGCCCCACCGACAGGGTGCGCTGCAGTCATGGAGGGGTGGATGAAGCATGTCGAGTATTGATTTGATTGCGGTTAGCAAAGAAATGTACGAGATGATTTAGCTAAGCGATTCATCACGAATGAAAGAATATTTTGATAGTTAGTTACATGAAGAAGTCGAGGTTGTTCAGAATCCACGAGCGAGCGGGGGAGAAAGAGCCGGAGGCATGTTTGCAACATTTGCTCAGCCTGACTCGGACTTGTTCTTTCTCCGACCCGCTCCAACCCGCTCCAACCCGCTCCGACCTGCGCAAACAACAAACACATCAAATACAGCAAACAGATCAAACACATCAAACATTGACCAAGTGCTGAATCAGCAATCAGCCATCAGCCATCAGTCGGCATTCCACAGCGGAATCACGGCGAAGCCCGACACTCCATCCTCAAAGCTGAGGCAAGTGTCCACATTCTCCGGAGTGAACGTGCCCACCGCATCCCCGCTGCAGGTACTATCGTGGTACGCCACAATCTTCCACCCCAGGTTGTTCACCGTCGTCGCCGCGTACCAGTAGTACTCCACCCCCAGGTTCAGATAGTAGCAGTCCTGCGGTTCGTTCAGGGTCAGGTACCCACCGATTGTCGAACAGTTGTTATTCAAGCTGGACACCTGCAGCTGCACCTCAAAGTCGGAGGGGATCGGCCAGGACGAGTCCGCCGGAATGGAGGTGACGCTGCCGGTCAGGTTGGAGAGCAGATGTCCATCGTAGTTGGCGATGTGCTCCTCTGCGGCAATGTCAGTACGGTGTGATTTTCAGGGGAGGACGACCTCTTACCCAGGTTCAAGGTCGTGTTCTTGCTGTTCGCAGCGTAGGTGGACTTGCAGTAGCATTGCAGAGTCGCTCCCTCACCGAGCAGGATGCATTCGCTGCAGGACTGCGAATACGCACCACTACGGCACTCAATACTCGACTCCGACTCAGGGGGCAGGACGAGAAACTTACTCGGTTTTCCACTAGAATTGAGCAGTCAATACTAAGCTCTGATGACCGGGATCTTAAACAACAAGAAGAGGAGAAACATACCGCTAATGTGGCTTCGCTGTTGGTGATCTTGTTGGGGAGGTAGACACTGCTGGTGATCGTCCCACTCCCGTCGCTGGTCGGACAAGTGCCCACCAGCCAGTTTTCCTTGAGATAGATATCGGTACAATCGTCCGCAAAGCCCTGACTATGGACTGAGGTGCACAAGCCAGCAATCAGGAGAATGGCCGTGGTGAGTTGCATCTTGTACCGCGAGGAGTGCTACAGGGACTGGTCGACTGCTCTTCTGTTGCCTTCGAACCATCTTTATATGCAAACGGCATTAGGCTTATAGGAGAGTATTCGACATATACTGCGCGCACTATTGACTGGGATCCAACATTTGTCAGGAACTACAAATCCCTCTCTTGAAGGTCCGAGGATCCTGCAGGACGTTAGAGTCCTCGAAACGGGCGTCGCTCCGGACTCGGGTCAAGAAGCAGATTAGGGCCCAGTTAGTGCTTATCTCAGCCGAGCAACAGGGAACAGGGAGCATTTGAGCACCACTCAGACAGAGCAGGAACAGCAGGATGAGCAAACACCGGTATGACTGCATCGCATCCAATGCTTTTGACTTGGTCACGTACAAGACATGAAGCTCATGTGTTTTGAGCTTGTCCGGTAGAGAACTTTGGTTCCGTTTCCCGACATGATCTGTTTCTGCAGACAGTTGTTTATCTTGACGTCAGGATTAGCTCTTTTCGATTCAAGCTGTGCGACCACAAGGAGTACTGTCAACTCTCACCTGCAGGAGCAAACGGTGGGGCGCACTTGGAAAACTCCGGACTCCGGCGCTCGGCGCTCCCACCCCTGTATGCTGATGATCATATGCAAGCTGTATGTTATTCGGACATTTGCGGTGGTGACTCGTGGGCTTTCCCCGCTTTACACTGTGGATGGACATCACCCTCAGTGCTTTTATTGCAGCACAACGGTGACAAGAAGGCTGGGAAGCGGGGTTCTGTGGCGCTAAGAGGACTAACTCGTCACGGAGAATAGTCCGGCTTCTGGCCGGCCATCGACTTGCGTTGAGCCAGGTCTTGCCCCGGGGCTTACTTTTTCGTTGAGCTGGGTACTCCATTATTGATGTGTATTCACTAAGCTACATGACGTACATTCAATGCTCAATCCTGACCAGCAGAGCCATCATCGTACCTCTTCCTGCTTCGTCACCCCCAACCTCTCTGAAGCCTCCACGCGCCGCACAAAATCCCCCGCTTGTCGAGCACAAGCCTCCGCTTCCTGCTGGAACTTCATAATCCAGCCAATCATGAGAACGTCGTGAGGCACCTTCTCTTCTACCACGAGCTCGATCTGTGATTCATTGCGGGCTGATTCATGGAACCGTCGGACAAGCTCCTGATGATCGGGAAACAGAACTTCCCGACCGCCGGTGATGATCAACACGGGCGAGGGGAGCATGAACGGATGGTGGATAGGCGCCACGTACCGCTCCACCGTCTCCGTGATGGCTAGATCGCGCAAAAATTGCCGGGCGCCCCAGGTGGGAAAGGAGCCTGGGATGTACTCGGTGCCGTAGTTCTCGCTTTGGGTCCAAATGTCCGGGTCCACTGCGGCAGGGACATCGCACCATGGCGACCAGAGCCAGCTGCACTTCGGAGGCGGGAGGCGGGCTGGGCCGTCGTACTCGACTATGTAGCGCAGCAGGGCCAGCGCAAGGTGCCCCCCTGAGCTATCGCCGGATAGAACAATGCGGGATGGAGGGATCTGTAGGGTGTGAATGAGGTAGGCATACGCCGCGAGGGTATCTTGTAGCTGGGCTGGGAATCGGCCGTTGGGGTAGCAGGCGAGTCGGTACTGTAAGCACAGGAGGTGACTGGCCGGGGTGTGGGTGAGAAGGGTCTTCGCGAGGAAGTTGCAGGAGGAGGTGCGTCCGTCACCCAGCACATACGAACCACCGTGAAGATGAAGCACGACGTATCGCCCATCAGGAATGGAGGTGGCGCCAATGCAAGGTTCTGGAAACCAAGTGGCCCCGACGGGCTCAGGCCTGACTTCTTTATCCACTGCAATGCCTGTGTAAAACCGCGTGGGGGCGGGGTCGATCACCACAAACCGGTCCCCTTCATGGTGTGGCTTGAGAGAAATGGGCCATTTGAAGTGACAGGCTGTGTAGGTCCGAAGGAATAGTTTCAAGAATGAGCCAGCCAGACCTTGGCGGGCGGACCAGGTGGGATCGTGTCGAATTCTGTGATGTTTCATCAGTAACACGCGGCAAGACGGAGGTGATCAGGGACAGGCACCGACCGGGAGGAAGCCATGGATGATGGAGATGATGAGTATTCAGGGACGGAACCGATGGGCAAATAAAGCAATGGCGATCGTAGCCAAGCTTTAAAGCCAAGAAAGACTCCGTTCAGCCCTACGGGTTGGGGGATTTTGGAATACATCACGATGATGTCGTCATGGCGCTCATCCACGGCAGGCAGCATCTTTTCTCTTTTCGGTTAGTGCCCTACCTAACCAGCTGGTAATCTCATGAAACAGGATGCAGTACCCTGGGCTCGTTTAATCCCCCAAAAATGGGGTATCGGCCAGATTCTGCCAGAACCCAAGGTCCAGGTCCCACGAAAGCTGGCTTTGAAATTCTTCCCAGTCGGCGAGGGTCGTGGTGCGGGGGGACGGCGCCCCCGGTCCCCGCAGTGCATCCGCTGTAATCGAATCCAGCATGTTGTGAATCGTGGACAATGCCTTGGAAATCAGATCGTAGTTAGGGTCTTGCAGTTGCACCACCGATCCGCCTGACAGCTCCGCAGCCAAAACAGTCAGGTTCTGGATCGCCCGTGGATGAGGGGCTGGAACCGGCGCGGATGAACAACGCTGGTTCAACACGGCTAAGAGGATGATGCCTGCCGCAGGAAGGCCATAATGCACAATCTGAGAAACATTCCATCAGTTGGTATTTTGCACGATGTTGCTCATTGCACCGACTCATACCTTCCACATCAGACTTGTCCCCGAATTGGTGAGCTGGTCGCGAAGCATTAACAAGGCGACGACGGTAGCCAGAATTTGCTCCGCGAGAGTTACAAGCTCCTGACTGGGGGTGGCAGGGGAGGGTAGGACCACGAGGCGAAGAAGAAATAGGACATGCAAATGATTGAGCTGGAAGCTAGCGAGAAAGTCCCTCTCGAACCCGTCCTTTGTAACCTCCTTCAGGGTTCCCTCCAACCGAAACTGTCGCGGGAGCTCATCCCACAACCTCTCAGCTTGTGCTTGTATAGTGCTAGCAAGATTAGTAAAGCTCTGGTTTGTTTAATACCGACGAATGGGAAATACCGGACTTGTTGCTGAAACTGGTCGCCATTCTTGTCGCGGTGCAGGTATAAGATATCTTCCTTGAGGCTTGCACACAACGCAGACCACCGTGACTCAGCCACATAAGAAGGGACAGCTGCTGGGCTCCAACCTGGAGTGGATTCACTCGGGTCTGAAGACAGCTCCCAGTGTCTGGTACCTGCAGGAGCCGATGGGATCTGAAAGTCGCAGAAATGGCGTGGCATCCGCGGAGGCCGACCGAGGAAAATGGCCATGTTCTTGTCGGCGGAGAAGATTCGCGCGAATGCGGTTCGACGCAACTCTTGGAGAAAAGCAGGGGCCTTACGCTCCAGACCGTTGGTCTGGTGATAACCGAGAGCAAAGATAGAAGCAATTCCATCCCCAAGTCGTCTCCAATACTGATAGCCTGGGTCTCGTCAGTGGAAAGGAACTGGCATGGCCCGGGTGGAGAGCTGCGCTAACTCTGATCGCCTGCTATGTACGAATGAACGATAAGGTTCTCGTACTGAAGTACTAGCTGCAGGTCATTGAGCTGGTCCAACGATAAGGCTATCTCGAGAGCACAGTTTGCGACACGGAAGCATCGCTTTCGAAGATCATATGGGCCATTGTCCTTCGAGTACAAGGGTGCGAAATATGACACATCATACGAGGCACGAATCACTGCCAGAGCAAAGAGGCCCAAGGTTTCCCATCTAATGTTATGCTCGGTGAATTGAGCGCAGAATTCCGCAAAGGTCATGAACGAGTCGCTATGCAAGGACTGCGCCGAATTACTCAATAGAAGTTCAGCATATTGTCGATGCCAATTTGCATTGGTAGAGATCGAGGTCAAAGCAAGGTCAATACTGTCGATGGCAGCTACAAGCCAGGCACCTCCCAGTGCTAGGCTAGCACCACTCGACAACCACAACTTGACCAGGTCTTTCATGGATTGCAGAGGTGCATGAGCCAACAGCAGCCGGGTTGCGTCTGCCGCGCGCTGAAGCAGTACATCGTCATCGTCCATGTCCACCGTTGTTGAGGGGGAGGTAGTCCCAGCCGACTGCTGTGCCACGGTCTGATCCGCTGCAGTCGGAGGGATATGACTAAAGATTGCCACATGACTGGAGGAGCCGATGTATCCGGGGTTGGGATACCGCTGACGGCGAGAGGACCGGGCAGAGGGGGTGGAAAAAGGGTCGTGACTGGCATGAGGATGATCAGCGACTAGGACCACCGTCGAGAGTGAGACATTGGTCTACCTCGGAGACGAGCGCGACTCTTCAGTGCTTTCGTTGGATGTCAGAGGCCGCTTCCTCTTGAAGGGGGTGGAGCGATAGAGACACAGTCCGGCTCGGTTGCTGGTCCGGCAACGCGTACACACCGGGTGGGTATGGTCGCAGGCTAGCTTGGACTTGCGGCATGGCTCGCAGGCTGGCTGCCTGGATATCATTCCGAGCGGTGGTAATGTTGAGTGACGCGAAAGCAACAGGATGGATACGGAGAAGAACTGGAAGGAAAGTGATTGATGCTCGGAGTGGAGAGAAACCCGGTGAGAAACTCGGAGAGAAACTCGGCGTGTTGGAGAGGGCGGTGAGAGCTGAATTGAAGCCTGATTCCTCAGGCATACCACGCACAACCCATCTCATTTCTTCGATTCTTTTACCAACAACTACTAGAACTACACACTGTTCTGTCTCTGCAAATACTCCACCAACGGTCCACTCGGGGCATCTTCCCGATCACATACAATCTCCACCATGCGCAATCCTGATCCATTCCACAGCTGATCCGTGGTGAGAATCCCTCCCAGCTCATCCCAGGTGCGAGCCGAGGCTGTGAAGACCTCCTCGCCCCCACCAAAGAGTTGAGGAGCCTGCAAGTACCGCCATCGAGTGATATCGTTGTACGCCTGTTGACGCCCGTGGATGCAACGTTCAATGGTGTATCCATCGTTGTTGACGACAAATACCACCACATTCAGCCCTAATCGGATGATGGTCCCCAGCTCTTGCGCCGTCATCTGGAAACTACCATCCCCGATGAATAGGATGGTGCGTGCATCGCGGATGCCTTGGTACTCGTCCGCCATCATCAATTCTCGCTGAGCAAGGGCAGCTCCCTGAGAGGCAGGAAGCATATACCCGATCGATAGCCAGGTGACTGGGGTGAAGACGCGGCTATGACGAGGCAGAGCCATCTCTCGCACTCCATACCCGGCAGTCCCCGTCTCTCCCAGAACAATATCTCCGGGACGAAGATATCCTGCGAGAAGCCGCCATAAATGGTTCTGGGTAATGGGACTCGGACCAGCAACTTCCGACAACGTTAACGACGAGAGGCGGGGAATGCGTTGGTGAGCATTGTCAGATACTACTCTTTTAACGTCCAGCCCTTTCAGGATTTGTGACAGCAAATGTTGAGCGGAAACATCGCGAAAGAGTTCTGGACCGATTTGAACCGCCGTGTCTGATATGTAGATGGCTACCTCATCTCTAGGGATGGCAGAACATGAAAAGGTGTTGGTCGAGCTCAAATGGGGACCGAAGTAGAGAACCAAATCAGCCCCATTCACATATGCTTGCACCTCAGGACTATCGAATATACCCCGATAAACCCCGTGGCAGTTGGACGTGGTCTCGTCCAGTAGGCCTTTTCCGTATGCCGTCGTCCAGAATGGCCATTGGGTGCTGGTGATCAAACGTTGCAGCTGTCCAAGAATTCCCATCGGTCGGCTTTCTCCATCAACCACAATGACTGGTCGTTTGGCAACATATACCCGGTCTAAGATCCGCGCCAGCACGACCTTGGAACAGGAGACCGGTGGTAGTGGCGATATGTCGAGAGGGCGACTCAGCCGCTCGACCGGCACAGGTTGATCAACCATATCCACTGGGATTTCGATATACACCGGACGGCTCTGCCGCAAACATTGCTGCAGGACCTCGTCGATCTGGGCAGGGCTGGGTTCCAGATCCCATAGTCGCGTTTGAGCGACGGTTACATGAGACGCCATTTGTGAAAATCGGCGGTACTCGCCGTCGTTGAAGGTATGATGGACTAACTGACGCTGGTCTTGCGTCTCTCGAGACGGGGTTCCGACGATGTGCACCACCGCAGCACGTTCGGCGAAGGCGCCTGCTATGGCGTTGATGGCTGACAGCTCTCCGACACCAAAGGTGGTGATCAAAGCACCGACTCCTTTGATACGAGCATATCCATCGGCGGCATAGCCAGCGTTGAGTTCGTTGGCATTGCCCACCCATCGCAGCCCCGTCGGCTCCACGTAATCAAGCAGGCGGAGATTAAAATCACCGGGGACTCCATGAAGAGAGTGAACCCCCAGCTGCACAAGGCGAGTGAAAAGATACTCAGCTAAAGTGACTGAGGACATGGTGGATGGTGGTGAGAGTGGCTGATCTTGGGGTGGAAATGACGAGATATTGAAGCCGAGCTCCCCGATTGCTAAGACCTTGTCGACAACAGGGTGGAATTTATAGTGCATGAACCACTGAGAAAAGATGGTGCCTTTTGCTCGAATCTAAGATATACCGGCGTGTTCGATCAGTCCGACTTATCTTCGGGCTGGGCAGGGATGGAAGATGAGGCAAAGCGCGGACCGGAGTAAGGGTCGGCGTGTTCGGCGTGTTCGGCGTGTGCCTGATCACGCACGGTGCCTTTATCCATCTTTATTTATCACCCCCTCCAATACGCCTAGAGGAGGTATATGCCCGCGACCACTCTTGTTCTTCACTATCTGATATAACTCCAGCTCCACACTGAAGATGCCGCCTCTGCAGCCTGCCTCCATCACGGCTCTCCGGACGCAGTCGGAGCCCTTATCGTTCGCCATTGCCCCCGCCATTTCCTCGGATGCCTTCAAATCAGCCCACACACGCGATCTCCCTCACGCAAAGCGATGGGATGACCATTGGAGTATCGAAAGCCGAGGCTTCGAAGGTTCAGCGTTGAAAAGGTCCGCGATCCAGCCCAGTGACCGCAAGGTCATCTCCCTGGGCACCGGACGACCCACAGCAGATTACTATCCATGGGACTCTATGACAACCGAGTCGATGCCGCCGACGCTGGCCGGTAAGTCTTCCAGCCATCAGACTACAATAGACAAGTACACGGACACGTTCAATCTAGCCAACGGCCTCAACTACGGCAGCGGGATAGGCTCCCCTCATCTACTCCGATTCGTCACAGAACACGTGGAGATGATGCATCAACCGCGGTACTCAGACTGGGCTGTATGTCTTTCGTGCGGCTCTACATCTGCCCTTGACATCATATACCGTATCTTCTGCAACCGAGGAGACACCATTCTCACCGAGTGTTATACCTACCCTGGCGCCGTGGAAGGAGCAGGCCTGCAGGGTATTCAAGTTCAGGGCGTGTGTATGGATTCAGAAGGACTGCACCCGGATGGCTTAGACGACATATTACGAAACTGGGATACCTCTCTAGCTTCAAAGCCCCGTGTCCTATACACGATTCCCACCGGGCAAAACCCCACTGGGGTCACTCAGAGTGTGGCTAGACGGGAACAGATCTATCAGATTGCGGAAACGCACGACCTGATGATCATCGAAGATGACCCATACTACTATCTACGTCTGGGCATGCAGTCTGATGACAAACCTGATGGGCAAGGTAATGGGGGTGATAGCGTGCTCACCGCGATCGACAGGTTTCAGGCGCAGGCAGTCCCGTCATATCTCTCGATCGATCGATCCGGTCGCGTCGTCCGCTTAGACTCAACATCCAAGATTCTGGCGCCTGGACTCCGTGCCGGGTGGGTGACAGCATCATCGCAGGTCATCAACAAGTTCGTGGTCTACTAGGAGGTCTCGATACTGGGAATCAATGGGCTGACCTAGCTCATGCTCTGGAAGTTGCTCGATGAGACGTGGGGTCATGAAGGCTTTTTATTGTGGTTGTCTGACCTCTCACGGCGGTATCAGTCGCGTCGTGATATTTTGTTGCGGGCATGCGAGAAGTATCTTCCTCGCGGACTTGTGTCTTGGAATTGTCCCCAATATGGGATGTTTCTTTGGCTGGAGCTGGATTACCGCCAGCATCCTCTGCTTCGCCACCATACGACAATCCAATCTGATGTGAAGACTTTCCTGGTCCAGGTGGAAAGTCGGATTGTGTTGAAGGCTCTGGAACACGGGGTGCAGGTCACGAAGGGGTCATTATTCTCGCCTAGCCCAGAGTGCCGACGTATGCTCTATATCCGATTGACGTATGCGGCTGCGCCGGCGTTGGATTTGAGTGAAGGCGTCAAGCTTTTGTCAGATGTATTGCGGGAGGAGTTTTCGTTGGAAGCCGATATGGTGTAGCACCAACGCGGAACCGACCTGGTCTCGTTCATTTTACTTCCAATAAATGCAAGAAAGCTAGGTCTGACACATGATCGGGATCGAGACATGGAAATTCTATTCTATCGAATGGGGTCGGATTGGTTGTTTAGAGTCACGTATGGCTGATGTACGAACATTAGCATCGGGTTCATCCGGGGTAATTCAATGCTTGCAAAGACAGAGCTGGGTCACCTACTCTACAATGTCCGCTTATTCTGCTTCAACCACTCGCTCAACTTCTGCGCGGCGTGAAATCGATGGGACAGTCCATTCTATGTATTGTGTGAGTAAGACTGAGCCATCATGCGACATGCTAGTTGTTCTTACCTTCTTTTCCACATCCATCTCGGCCAATGTCTCCTCACCATGTTCGAATATAGGCTCCCACCCTGGATTGCTGTTAGTCATCGGACATGCCAATTGAAGACAAAGCCTACCGAATGAGGAGATACCCCTCGGAGGGACTATCTTGCCCTGGTTGAGATCAGCTATTGTCAACAGCTATCAATCCCAAAGCAGTACTTACCAATAGCCTCCCCTGGAAGAGGATCGGCTCGGCCCCAGGGCCTGAGGAATAGCCTATGGTACAGACGGCTTCTGCGGTCTTATCCTCAAATGCAGCAACCATCTTGTAGAGACCCTCGTTTCCAACGCTATCTACAAACGCTTTGCTGTATGGGTCGCAATAAAGATGCGAGTTAGCCTTTCCAACTCATGCACAACAGAAATGCAGGGCGGACAAACACATAAGGTCCCGGCATGCGATTCAAAGCATGCATCTCGAGCGCCGAGTCCTCGACTAGGACCGGACCAGAGATCTATTGACTGGGTTCAGTTCGCGTCTGTCAAAGTTCAACCGCCTCGCAGTACCTTCTCGGCGGCCACACGGCATTTCTCTCGGGTGATTTCTTCCACGGAGCCTTGAATCTCGGGCAGATCGAGGTCGATTGAGTTTAAGATGGCTGAGCTTCCTAAGATTGCATTGAGCTCGGAGATCTTGTGTCTATTCCCGCTCACGAGGGTGAGAGTTAGCATGATGACTGTTTAGGGGAAGGGATTGTGTGGTGATTGTTTTGTGCTGAAGATGATGATAAGGTAACACAGTACGCAGTAAACACCAACAAAAAAGAAGCATTGAGATGACTCACACTTGCCGCCCCTCACCGCCCAGTGGAAAAGGGGTAAGGACACCTGAATACCCTGGCACTGCTACTTTATACCATCAAACAGAATCAGAGGAAAAAGCCATAGCGGTACGCATATAAGAAGACATGCCGGTCTGCGACTGTTTTCTCTGCAAGTAACAGGATTACTGCCCTTGCTCATGGACACTTGTTGGGGAGCTGCCACGTGACTCCCTCCGCGCTTTCGCCTCCACTTTCACCTTCTACGACACTACATCCTGACGGGGTGGTGTCATTGAGATGTCATGGCGGAGAACGGGCGGGAAGGGGGAATAGCTGTTGCATTGGAGTGACAAGGACGAGGGTGGAATGTCGTTAATGGATTGTACGATACTGTTAGAGCGGAAAACTGCAGAAGCGCCTAACTTCAACTTGAAGTTATCTCTGGCCACTGGCAAACTCCGGTTGCAAGCAGGAGAAACCTGTCATTCGTCAGTAGCGCCGAAACGTATTGCTTTCTCACCAAACAGAGCCATTGTGAAGATCTCAATGTCTCCATCCAGCTGCGTCCGAATGCGGGGAATGCGGGGAAGAGCGGGGAGGGGAATAGCATCATTGACAGTGGATAAGGAATGTATATCTTTCACGATGACCTGGCCCAGTTTCGATCGACATGAATGCGATTGACTGGTCGCATTGGAGCTGCTCCTTCATTTAGCCTCAAAGGGCTGTCTCCAGGGTGGTCACGCGCAGGATGGCCCGGGTAGGGGTGCAGCTGGCTGGTGGACCTTATATTTGGGAGCGACGTAGCCCCCAGTTCCCCGTTTGATTGTCCACCTTACGCATGATCATTATCTCTGCCAGATCTCTACTCAAGCCAAATGGTTCAAGTTAAGAAATCAGGCGATGTAGCCTCAAGCGAGCCCCAGGCCCCCGAGCCCCGGGTTGAAGAGGGGAAGCCGGGGAGGGATGCAGACACGCGGCGTCTCGAGGAGATGGGATACTCACAGCCAATGGAGCGAAAGTACTCGGTGCTGTCGGTTCTGGGGGTAGCATATTCTCTGACCAATTCGTGGTGGGGAGTGTCTGCCTCTCTGGTGACTGGCATCAACTCCGGAGGATCAGCCCTACTCGTCTACGGGAGCATTCTGCTGGCCCTAGTCTCCACGGCCGTGGCAGCCACTCTTTCAGAGCTAGTCAGTGCCATGCCCAACGCTGCCGGGCAGTCATTTTGGGCCAGGGAGCTGATTCCTCGCAAATACGCACGACTTGCCTCCTACATCACCGGCTGGCTTGCCTGGTCGGGGTCAATCTTCGCCTTAGTTGTGCGCTGGGTTTATGTTATCCCCTTTGGGTTGAGCATTACACTGACTAGCAGTATGTGATAAACAGTTCTGCCAGTGTTGCATCGGGCGTTGCATCGGCCTGTGTAGGCTCTTACGCCCTCTCCCATCCAACACTGTATGTCCTTTCTACTACCAAAACCTGGACAAACCATCTGACAGATGGAGGGAAATAAAACCATGGCACACGCTGGTAGTATACCAGGTCGTCAACCTCTTCTGTTTTTTCTTCAATATATACGGGCGAACCTTGTCCTTTGTCGGCAATGCGTGTCTTTGGACCAGCCTAGGTGCCTTCGTTGTCATTCTCATTGCGGTTCCTGCGCGTGCTGCAACCCATACCTCCCCCAACTTCGTCTTTGCCTCCTTCTCCAATGCTACTGGCTGGAACAATGACGGCATTGCGTTTATCGTCGGATTGATCAATGCGAACTGGGGGTTCAGCGGCCTCGATGCAGCTGTCCACCTTGCGGAGGAGATTCAACATCCCGAGAGAATGGTACCGATTGCCATCATGGGAGTAATTGCTATCGGATTTGTCTGCCTCGCTTTCTGTTCCACATCTGCCACTAGTCAGTAGTCGCTAATCCTGGACAGGTAACCTCCTTCGCCTTCGTCCTCGCGATGATGTTCAGCGTCCAGGACCTTGCCGCGTTTCTGGCAGCCTCCTTCCCCAGTCTGGAGCTCTTTCGTCAAGCTCTGCGCAACGACGCCGGCGCCATCGTTCTGGAAGCACTGACAATCGCGACCGGTATGGGCAACATGATCTCTTGCCATACCTGGGCTGCACGGCTCTGCTGGTCCTTTTCCCGCGACCATGGCGTCCCCTTTTCATGGGTGTGGTCCCAGATTGCTCCCCGCGTTGAGACTCCCTTGGCCGCGCATACCCTCAACACGATCATTGTGGGTGCCATCGGATGCATCTACCTCGCCTCGCAGACGGCTTTCAACTCGATGGTGACGGGATGCATCGTGCTCCCGTACCTATCCTATGTATTGCCGGTAATGGGTCTTCTGCTCCGTGGCCGTAACAATATTCGCCATGGTCCGTTCTGGCTTGGGGGGCTAGGCCTGTTGGCTAATTGGGTTTGCCTGGGTTGGATTCTCTTTACCTGGGTCTTTTACTCATTTCCTGCGCAGATGCCCGCTACCACTGGAAGTAAGTGCGAGTGCTCTGTCTTCTGCTGCTGACAAGATGGTTGACTCTCGCCAGATATGAATTACATCTGCGTGATATATGCCGTCATTGGTTGCATCGTTGTCACGGACTGGTTTGCTCGAGCACGCAAGGTATACTTGTCAAACATTGCGACGATCGATGGGCAAGAGATATATGAGTTCGACGAGGGTCTAGAAAGTTGGTCAGACTAATCACGATTGGGTCTTTAGGCGTGGATGAATTGCTGACGTGCGGGCCCAGAGACAATTGTGACTCGAAGCCGTATAAGGACGCTTGGACAGGCGGGAATTCGAAGTAAACCCTGTCACTCACATGAGGCCAATGTCAGCGCTATCACCCAACATGGAGGGCAGATCCGACAGGGCAGTGGTAAGAATAGCGGACGAGAAATGGAGTATATGTATGGCCCAATTGCTTAGTCTGAATGAAGAGTGCATGTTTAACCACACTTCTCACATCGCCGAAGTCGGTCCTACCTAGTAAATCATATACGGCATTTCGTAGACATCAATGTGCGATGATCAATGATAAACGTCTCAAAGACCCGCGGGAGAATGGAAGATCGCCAAAGGGGACGGAATCCAAGGCAAACTGTACAGATCAGATTAGACATCTGCCGGACAGCCCTCAGCTGCCTCCTAACATTGCCCGAAAGAGTAAACGTTTGCAGTCTTGGCAACGCCACCGAATGCACAGGCGGATTGCATGTAGTCCGAGGACATCAGTGAAGAGGGGCAGATGGATGGATTCTTTCGATAACGGTCACTCCCACGAGCCTACTCTCATTGTTCTACCTAGTAAGATGTCCTCCACGCAAGGGCCTGTGGACGAACACCCCGACGTTCGGAAGCGCCAGCTGGAGGGAGCTGAACCAGGAACGGCCGGGCAGTCGGTGTGTAATGATAAGGACCATGAATTTCTGTATGTATGCGAGGAACACCACTGGGAGATGCGAAAAGAAGTAGAATCCCCATAAAAAATTTGCTTCCTGGGATTGCTTCGTAAGTCGGTTGAACTGTTATCCACAGTGGATACGCGGATGACGAGCCCTTGCCCTACAAGCCCGATTTGGTGGAATGCGAAGGGTACCTAGGGAGTACTGTACCATGGCGTGTCTTTGAGCATTATATACTCCCAGAGCACATTACCGCCGGGAATGAGAATTTTAGAAGCAATAGCAAGCCGGGGCGTGAAAAGCATATGAAGGGTATACTCCCGAGTCCTGGATTTGACAGCCACCTTGGACAGCCACCCGTGGCTGTTCCATACCCTTGGCTCTTCCACCAGTCCATTGGTAAGAAATGACATCTCAATCAGGCACCATATGGCTTCTGGTAGGCGAGTCTATAGCGTGCGCAGTCCAATGGGAGGCTACCAATCATTGCGAAGTGATCCATGATGACGAGGCCCAAAAAAAGGTCCTGAAAATAGCGGTGGATCGAAAAGAATTCGTCCCGTGGGTTACGTAATGCCATCCGTGGTTCCCACTTATTTTCTTCTTGCCGCTTTAGGCCATCGGCCATCCTAAGTTTCCTACTATACTTCCTTCCTACCTCAACTTACACTTCACTATGTCCTGACTGGACAGCTACGCGACAGGATACAACTCACCATAGTTGACTATGATACCAAGACTATGAAGTCCGAATCCAAACATCACTTGATTGATGCCAATAATTGAAATTATAGGGCCTCTCCCTCCCCGAAGCCGCGATGAATGATCCAGACATCCAAACCCCACATGCACAAAGTATGCCAGGCGAAACGGACCCAGGCGATCATGTTCGTGTGCGAGGTATATCGCTGAGCTTAGACTAGGAATTCTAATTCTGTATTGGTGCCCACTCTTTCTCCACGCCACCACATCTTGTAGCTGTTGGATGACGACTGCCGTCCGGCCCTACAGGAATTGCGCATGAGAACATGCCGAATCAGTCGGGCTTCAGACTCTACCAGACCTGGATTCTTTTGCAAATAGACTGGAGGATCAGCTTGATGACGCCTTGCTCAGGAACCGGGCCCTGCTTGTCCACGGTCTGGAACGCGCCGCAGAAATTGAGGCACGCCTTTTCATGATGTGTGCATTTATACAGCCTGGTGAACCTTCTCGCTCCGCTTCAGGAGTGCAACTGTCATCTATGAACCTTAGACTACAGCAAAACTGTATCTCTCAATGCCTCCTCCAAGCACTCGCATATCCGTGGCTGAAGATGTGGTCATTCCCGCCCATTTGCTGGCTACCACAACGCCATCGAGTCATTTGTGGAACAGCTCGCATTGTGATCCATTGGAGCAGGGACCTGTTCAGCAAGCAATTCAGACTGCTGTATTTGAAAGGGAGTTTGGACGTCTGCGCCGCTCAGCGACTGTTAGCGGAGATCAACCCCCGAAACTCAGAACAATGGCCAACATTCGACGTCTGAGCGCGCCGCTGAGCGTATCCGAATTGAGCAGCATTACTGAAGTTCAGTCACCATGTTTCTCCCCGCGTCCGGATTTCAATGCCTCTGCTGAGTGGGCACGTTCACCTGGACTCCCGGTTCAGGTACATGAGCCGAACGCGGATGAACGAGTTCAATTCCCACCCCAGATCCAACAACTGGAAGGGTTGGGCGTTTGCGAATCAGTCTCCGTAACCCGAGATGGCGCATGGCCTCTTCCCCCACGTCCGCAAAGCTACAGAATCTCTCGCATCGAAACCGGGACTCGACCCCAGACAGGACGACAAGCCGCACGACACAGCATCTATGAGATCTACCAGAAAGCCAAAGAAAGGCGGGTCGCATTGCAAAGAAAATACTGGGTTCAGGTGCTGTTCGAATATGCTGTCTATCTGATCCTGATAGCATTCATCTACTTTGTCCTCATTGGCATTCCACTCTGGAAAGGCGCGGTCTGGTGGCTTTATTACGTGGTGCGCTTCGAGTTTGTGATTCAAGGCGGTTGGGCGATTACGATAGGTGTGGCTTTCTTGTACGTATCCCGGTTGAGTCAGTGATGGCATTGGGTCAAATCGCTAACGCTCTCTCTTCTTGGCCAGCTATGCCTTTGGACCCTTGCTTGTTTCTTTCGAAAAGGATCCTCCTGCAGTGCTGGAGAAGCTCGAAGGTGCCAATTTAGAGCACAACCGAAAGACAGCCCAGGACACAGCCCTGCTGATTCCCTGTTACAAATCGGCAAACATCATTGGGCCTACCTTGGAAGCAGCCCTACGTATTTTCCCACCCCAGAACATCTTCGTGATTGCCAACGGAAACGCCCCGGAGCCACTCGACAACACTGAAGAAGTTTGTCGTCCGTACGGAGTGAACCATCTGTGGTGTCCGGTCGGGAGCAAGATCATCGCCCAGTTTGTGGGCTGCTACGCGGCCAAGCACTTTCCAAACGTGTTGCTGATCGACGATGATTGCGCTCTGCCGGCCAATTTTCCGGTAGTGGGTGACCGATTGAAGGGAAGAGTACAGTGTATCGGGTATACTATCAAGAGTGTCGGGCCGGCGTCATCGCGAGGGACCTTTTGCCAGCAGGCACAGGACTTGGAGTACAAGATCTCGGGGCTACAGCGCGCCTTTGCGGGTCTTCTAGGGAGTGCTACTTTCCCGCACGGTGCCATCTCCTTGTGGCGGACAGACTTTCTCAAGCAGACCTTCCATGATCATCCAGGGTTCTCAGTGTCGGAGGACTGGTTCTTCGGGGACAGCTGTCGCCGGCTAGGCGGGCGCATCACTATGTGCACGGCGGTGTTTGTCGAGACTGAAACTCCATCGGCGGTGTTCTTTAGCAGTGGTGGTTCTCGCGGAGGCTTCGGCGAGATGACCATCTTTAAACAACGCTTCATGCGTTGGAACTTCTTCTTCGTCAACGGGATGTACTTCAATATAAAGTATATCCTGTGTAATTGGAACCTAGGCTGGTGGGAGCTAGGGGCCAAATTGTTTGTCTTTCAGGAGGTGAGCAGCGGTTATTTCTTGCACTGAGCAAAGCACCATCGTCAGCTAACTGATATGGAGCAGGTCTACGAGACGCTTCTCTATCTTGTGGCGCCCTTTATGCTGCCCATCTCCTTCGCGGTGCGGCCGGCCTTCTGCGGGATCATGCTGGGCTCCACCAACGGCTTATACTTGCTCAATGTTGTCCTCTTCAACCTCATTCACCTGCGCAAGAAGAAAGCGTCTGTCAGCTGGACTTGCTTACTTGTCTACTACATGCCCTACAAGATTGTCTTGTTTCTGATCAATGTGGCCAGTTGCTACTGGTCTTTGTTCAAGTATGCCCGCTACTTTGCTAATCGTCATCCCAAGGTGATCGAGGATGACAAGGCGGTAGAAGTAGTGCTTCGTCTCGAGGAGATGCCTATTATGCCCTCGGAAGAAACGAAGAAGCTCCCTGGGTTGGGAAGGAGTTTGTCGGTCACGAAGGTGAGGGCTCGGCGGCCGACGAATGCCTCGCAGCAGCCGTCGGTCAGCATACGGGCTTCTGTGGTCGGTGTGGATGGTAATTGGATTTAGGATTGTAAGGGAAGAGTCTTCAATTACGCCTCGCGGTTTTGCTTGCCTGCTAGAACTCATAATGACCTTAAATACAATGATTGTTCAACACCCTGTTGAAGACGAGTCCCCACAGAACCCACTCAGTCGCTTTCAACCGGCCAGACAAAGGGCCCGATGTCCTCAGTCTAGTGATACATTTCGTTCTCACCCATTACAACCGCGTCCTCAGCCTGCATCCAGGCAGCCGCCCTATACTCCTCATCTGACCCATCACCCTCATACGTTTTCGCCGCCACCAGCACCAGGGTTCCATTGTCGATCAACGGTCCCAATCCTGCAGGAACATACCACTGCTCGCCACCCCCGGGCTGGCCAAACCACGGTAGCACCTCGCCGTAGAAGGCCCAAAAGGGTCGCCTCACCTCATACTGCCAGTAGTTGTAGAAAGTGCTATCGTTGAAAATGTTCAGATTGCTGGGCGGGATCGAACGTTGCGCGAAAGAGGTCTCAGGGGTGGCCAGATATCCCCCGCGTGGAGACCCGAAGCGATCGACCCGCGTGCCCACCTCCAGCGTTACATTCTCGGGGCACCCCTTGAATCCATCATTCTGAGGGTAATAGTACTGCGTGTTGAGGTATGGCCCTGCGGTGAAGTTGGACCAGGTGCAGAGCCAATCGCGCGGACACTGGCTGTCCAGGGGCTTCCAGTCGACGAAGAAGTCGGTAAAATTGCTGGCGGGCTCGAAGTTGGCCGGCCCCAGCAGACGGTTGTTACAGATGCAGTACGAGCAGTAGTAGGATCCAGAGACGGGGTCCGTCGCGTTGGGGGTCACCCCGTCACAGGGGTTTTGGCAGCTGGACGGGTAGTTTTGAATCCCGGTTTCGTCGGGCGCGCCCCCGTGGGATTCCAGTTGGGTGTTGGGAGAAGGGGTGAGCGGGTTGGGAGCTGCTTGGGTGAGCAGGCCGAAGAGAGGCAGTGCTAAGCAGAGAAGTTGGGGAAGGTTGGTGGGCTTGGATGCCATTTCGTGGTGGTCAGCAGGATGGCTTTCCTAGGGCTATGAAGGTGGTCGGGGGTGGGAGCAAGCGGGTTCGACTGGCGATGGGAGAGGACGACCAGCCGATTACCCCGACCTTCTTATACAGGTCTGTAGATGGTTGGAGACCGGGGTCTGTCATGCGTATCTCCACACGCTAGAGCCATACGGTATGTGGTTGCCCGCGACAGGAATTCGAGCATCAAGCTGAGGAATGTTGTCCCTGCGTCCAAGACGGATCAGCAAGAGATGCACCCAGCAATTCGAAGCTCCACACCCAATAGTTTCTCATCTTGTTTGTCATGAGCAGGGGTTGCAGGGGTCGGGTTTCCTAAAGGGTGCCGGTACATTGCTTGGCTGCAGGCCAGACCATGGGCTCTTTGTCTCGATACGCCAGAAATCCATCTCAGCTCCTGTCGAAGGCTGTAGCACACTCGAGGGGACCTTTAGTGGCAGTGGCCTGAATGGTCAGGGGGGAATGGCCAAAGCGACTCTGCCTGTCAAGGGGTGTTGTGCTCATAGACGCACATCAGACGAGTGCGGCGATGCTCTGGCAGCGGGTTCGACAGACAGAGTTTTTCGCAAGAAGCGTTGTTTCGATAAGATCTGCTATCTTGTGTAGACAACGGACAAGACCCTCCATGTATTTGGATGGGTTCAAGTGGTAGAATGAGTACCTTATCCATGTGGTGGGCAAGGGTACTATTATTCTTAGATATATATTGGTGATCAATAGTCTGCACTTGGGCTGCCGCGCCACTTACTGCCATCCCCAAGTGCAAAAAACAATCTGGATATGACTACTATATATTGTACCATTGAGCTAGAATACAAGGATATAAGTAGGTGCTGATCCTGAGGTGTCGACGGTCACGGGTCGGCCGCTCGTATCCCCAAACAGGAATTGACGGAGCAGCCAATGATGGCCCAGCTGCGAGACACAGCCTCAGGCCCCACTGCGGTATCAGACAAGGCTGATTGAATGGGGGTTCACTTCCACAGGTACAGTATATAAAAGTCGGGTCAGTTAACTGTTAGATCTCACAAATCTCCTCTATCCACATCTCTCTTACCATGTCTCAAACGCGATCCCTCAATGTCGACTTCACCAGCTGGACCGGCAAGCACCTAGAAGTCACCGAGGGGCTGCCCAACCAGCGCACTCTCGTCTACGCCGCCGACCTCAACTTCCGCAAACCGCATATGATCTTCCAGGCCATCGGGAGCGCTCGACTGCCAGCCACCGTCAACTTTCACTCCTTCTCCCGGTCCATCGATGTCAGCGTCAACGGCCACCAGATCGCCTTCAAGCCGCACGGGGTGTTCAAGTATGAAGCGTCCTTCCAGTCGCCCGCTCTCAACGGCCGGGTCCTCACCTGGAAGAACCCCAAGTATATGAATCCCGCGTATCTGGAGTGCCGCGATGAGCACGGCGCCGTGGTCGCCACCTTCACCCCGAATCGGGGCTGGACAATGACCAAGGCGGGTCGCCTCGAGCTCGATCTACGTTTACCGAGCGGTCCGGTCACCGATGAAGTCGTGGTTACCGGGCTGGCGCTGGCCTACTATATCATCGTCCAGACCATCGCGGCGAGAGGCTCGTAAGCTGCAGCGCGCTGCAGTCATATTGTGAATGATACCTTGGTGTTGATTCTTCGATGTGTCGGATGTCATGTGAGGCTTGGAGTTAGCACGACACCGTTGTCCCACCCATGTACTGTACAAATATATAATCTTGTGCCACATGTCGAAGCTCTTCATTGTTTTCGACACCCTGCTAATTCCGTAGCATAAGTTCTGGAAAGTTTAGTAACAAAGGTTACGGTGGCGGATGCAGGGTGGCACAAGTACAGTGCAGTCCCTGTAAGGCGGGCAGTGAGATTGACCCCTCCTTTCCGGTGTGGCTGGCTGCCAACTTGCAGTCACATCAACCACCATCACACCACACCATCACACTGGCTAGGATAGATCGAAGTCGGGTGCCTAAGCATTGCCAGAGCAACTGTCAAAACTGTTCCAATGGATATCATTGATCATTTTCAGTCCATCGAATTCAGCGACCGCGTAAAAAGACTCCGGGAAGAACGTCATGTGCCAGGTCTTGCCCTGGCTATCGTCGACCACGGCCGGATTGCTTCAGCAGGGTACGGCAGTGCGTCTTTGGACCCCCCTCAGCCGTGCACACCAGACACCCTGTTCGATATTGCCTCGGCCTCTAAATCTCTGACCGCGGCGTCCGTGGCCTTGCTGGTCGAAGACGACAAGCGATACTCGGAGGTGCAGTACGAAGCCCCCATGTCGGCTTTGTTACCCGATGATTTTGTCCTAGAAGATCCAGTATACACCGCCGGGGTAACTGTGGATGATATCTTGAGTCATCGAACAGGCATGGCTTCGTGAGAATAAGCGGCCCCCGGCCATCCTGACACAGACCCGATAGCGGACTGACACCGATAGACACGACTTCTCCTACCTGAGCCCGCGGGCGAGTGCCCCGGATACGGCGCGATCTGTGACCCGCAATCTCCGGCATCTGCCCCTCGCTGCCTCCATCCGATCCAAGTACATATATTGCAACATGATGTATACCGTGGCGACGCATTTGGTCGAGGAGAAGACCGGGCTCCCCTTCGCCGATTTCCTGGAGGATCGCTTCTTCCGACCGCTGGGCATGGCGTCCACCAACCTCCAGCCGCAACGAGCGCGCGATCGAGGACTGACCGATCGTATCGCCACGGGCTACCGCTGGAATGAAGAACAGCGTGAGCACCGTGGGTTTCAGACGCCCGATTGCCCCGAAGCTCAAGGAGCAGGCTCCATCATCACCAGCGTGACCGACTACATCCGGTGGGTCAAAGCCATGATGCATCGCCAAGGTCCGGTGACGGAGAGCCTCTATCAGGGACTTCTCAAACCACGCTCAATTCAGGACCCCGGGGAGGAGGAGCGCCTCTACGCGGCGGGGTGGGAGATCTACCATTATCGTGGACACGCGGTGGTCTCGCATGACGGCGCAGTCGCCGGCTTTGGCAGTACGCACTTCTTTCTACCGGGGTTTCAATTCGGGGCCGTAATCCTTGGAAATTCCGATACGGCGATCCCGGTCGTGACGACTGTGGCGAGGGAGTTAATTGACCAGGTTCTCCAAGTACCCCATGCAGAGCGCTCTGATTGGAATAGCATCGAGTGGACCAGCTGGGAAACAGAGGACAGCCCTGGCGAGACAGAGCTGCGCGAAAAGCTGTGTCCGGATACGCATGAGCCAGAACCTCAGCAGTTCCCTCTCAGCACGTATACAGGCCAGTATAAGAACTTAGGGTACCATGAATTGTTGGTGGAGGCGAAAGATGACCGGCTGTTTGTCGATGCGACCGATCGTTCCTTTGGGTTTGTACTCACCTTCAATCATGTCGGGAAGCAGTCGAAGTACATCGCTCGTCTGAAAGACTATCTCGACGGATTTGAGATCTCAATTGCCGCTGAGTTCGTTCTAGAGGATGGGAAAGCTGTTAGCCTTGGGCTGGGGCTGGAAGAAGAGATGGAGGATTTGGTGTGGTTTGCGAAGGTGGAGGAGGGTAGGAATGCCTAAGGCATGAGGGGGGTGGACACCCCAGGCAGCAAGGCAGCTGATACCTGAGGCTGCCACAAGCCGGGGTTGAAAGCGGAGACCGGGGGCAGTATCCCTTCATCGGTCCCGTGGCATCTCTTGGGAGTCATGCTTCGACTACCCACCGGACTAGTTACTTCTCATCATGTATCCTTCATTCGGTCAGGATAGTGACAGGAGGGACATCTGTCTTGAAACCCTTTCGCACTACTAGCTAGCTGGTGATTCAGAGCCCGACACAAAATATGGCTCCTAGGGCTGAACATGATCCAGGTCAAGGTCAAGTAACCCGGGTCAAGTTGAAAGATGGTCTGTGGGTCGGGTGTTTTCTATAGTCACTGAATCCAGGTTAGACCTCTAAGGCATGCGTTGGGATCGTCCAAAACCTCCGAGAACGAGGCCATGGCTGATCAACAGATATGCCACAGCGCCCTCAGCCTGGATGACCTTGTTGCATTCGGTAGTCTCCGGGCAGGCGAGCGTGTACAATGGTACAATATAGTCCGTGAGCTTGCGTCACGTAATCTCTCCGTGGATAGCCCGTCAATTGGCCTTCTATTTCGTCAGGCCGCGTGGGAGCTGGGTACCTGGAGTGCAAGTACGGACTCGAGAGTGGCTCACCAGCCGGTTCAAATTGAGATGATGAGGTTACGCTTACGATTCTTCAACGCACAGGGTGCGCTGCAGTCTCGTGAGATGAGTGCCACGGTAGATCGTGACCAGGACATCGGCTGCTTCTACGGGCTGCGGAACAAGCTGATCGTACGTGACACAAAAGATCACTGGCATCGGTCTGTGGTTGTGCCGTTTGGAAAGGTCGTGGCAGTCAAGGAAAAGCACAATTCAATCGTCCATATCGAGCCCTCGTCAGAATCACGGCGGATCGGATATTTCCGGTACTCGCTGGACCGACACTTGTATGTTCTGCGTGGAACCCCAGACATGCAGGCCACTCTCTACCAGGCTTATCTTCATGCCATGACGAGTCTTTGTGTTACCAGATCCAGCCACACATCGATCTGGAACAGCCGAGGCTCTGCGGATCTTACGGCAGGCTCAGCTTCAGTCAATCCTGCCCTTGAGGTCGAAATTGTCTGGATCTGCTAGGCTATCTGGCGAAACTAACTCCCTCACGGGCGTTTTATCCTGCTCACTTGGAAGTAATGCAAACAGTCGACTAGAACATCAACTTGGGACAGATGGCACAGCATGATGACTTCCTGGTTTTGGTTACACAGATTTTGGATCATGCGAAAGCCTTTTCTGAATTCTACCCCCACAGCAAAACTAAAATAACCACGGTATTTCGCGATGTGCGAAATCAGGGGGCTCAGCATCTCCCCAAGTAAGCACGGATTCGTCATATTCACTTTTGCCGCTCTGAATTCGGAGAGACTGCTGTGCCGCCAACCCCATCGGAATATGCGTCTCATGACCGGGGAAGTGGTAGTGATCGAAGCAGCCGTGTGTACAAAGCCGCTTCTCTGGTTCGAGACTGGCCGTCATATGACCTGCACTGCCCAGACCTTTACTCAACAGTATGCAGCTGGGGCTATGTCCAGGTCGGGCCTCTCTCTCTCGGGGACTACACATGCACTCAGCTTCTGCAGCTATCGTTTCCAGATACATGAGGTGCATTCTATGAATATTACCGCTTGATAGATAAGGATAAACAAACATTATTCCATTGCTTGTAGTCGCCTTCTCCAACCGATTTACAGACCTCGCAGCACCAAACTTTCCTACAGATAAGTCCGATAAGCTTCCTCTACAGGGCGGTAAAAGTCTTGTTACATGGGAGATAAAGGCCGCTCTCCGAGAGAATTGCAAGTCATTTGAAGCGCCCGACTGGAGGTGGCGAGAGTCATAGGCAGAGGTTGACAGGGAAAGAACCAAATTTTGCAAAAAGATTAATAATGGAGTCCAGGAATGCTCACAGAAAGTAGAGGAACAGTGCCAATGCGATAGGCTGAGTCTCTTTTGGGTAGCACACATAGATCATGCACTCGCCTCTGCAGCTTGTGCTCGTCTCTGCACAACTTGGAACCACAATCAAATCTTTCTCAACTTGTTTCGCTAAGTTCACGACCAACCCAACTCGCATGGCGGAGTCGCAAAAATATCCTCGCAGCTACCCTTGCAGCCACCGCAGTCCGTTACTGCAGCCAGCCCTGCATTCAGGCTTCCTTCTCTACTCAACAGAGTACAATCCTGCCCGCTGCCGTCGATACAATCCTTAAAAACACCCATCCAGCTTTCCAGACCACGGATAGATAATCATCACGGTGACAATAGCACTTCTGAGCTTCGCAATATCATCGAGGAGGTACGCGACAGTGAAAGCCACACTCATCAGAAACTGGGAATGAGGTTAAGTAAGAGCTTTGAAGCTATGGTAAGGCGACCAACTGTCTTCTTACCGGAGTCGCTACTCGTGACAAGAGAGGTGCTGAATTCGCATCGGAGGGATCTGGTGCAACAACGCGACGACTGCTGGGTGGCCATCAAGGAGACACTGACCGCCAGCAAGGGCCTCTGTGAGGCACAATGTGTTCTTTGGCCCCCAATCACACCCTTTACAATGGTTTCGCTTCTGGTGGCGAAGCACTGGCAGTCAGTGCCGCCGTCATGGCAGAGTATCCTGCTATGTCTTGCTCAGAGCATTGCCTCGCTCAAGCGGTGTGAACGACTGATAGTGTGCTGGGACCGCCATGACGTTGAGGCCTTTTACAAAGAAGCTGAGGTGTCGCCATGTTCGAACTGTGACCCTGTAGTACACCCTGAGTGGCTACTGTTCGAACTCGAAAACAACATCACAATCCGAGGCCAACAAGCGGACATCTCCCAGTGCCTGATCAAACCTGATTCTCCAGGAAACGCCATCATGCAGCTCAACATGGGAGAAGGGAAGACAACGGTCATCACCGCAATGGCTGCTCTGTCTCTGGCAGACGGCTCGGAAATTTGTCGTATCGTTGTTCCAAAGCGACTTTTGCGACAGAGCTGGAACCTGCTAACGCAGCAGTTGGGTGGAATCTTGGGCCGGCCGTTAACCAGATACCGTTCTCCCGTGCGACACCTATCGATAAGGGGATGATCCGGAATCTGAGAACAATCTACGAGGAGTGCAAACGCTCTCGGGGCGTTCTACTCACCTTGTCGGAGCAAATTCTATCTTTTCGTCTGGTGGGCTTAGACCTAGTGAGCAGAGACTTGGCCTTGGCGCAAGAAGCCATCCAGCTTGAGCGATTCATCCAGCAGACCTGCCGCAACATCATTGATGAGAGTGATGAGATTCTAGATCCGAAGTTTCAACTGGTTTATACTATGGGAACTCAGCAGTGCCTCGACGGCAGTAGCGACAGGTGGCAGATGGCTCAGAGCCTACTGACACTGGTCGAGGATCAAGCGAGCGGACTGCACTCTCGAGCTCCGAGCCTTTTAGACCTGGAGCGGCGCGGTGTCTGCTTTCCGATAGTCCATTTCCTAAAACCAGGGACGGTGGAGATTGTGATTGAGTTGATGTTGCAGACCCTGTTTGAGAATGGTCTTCCTGGCCTTCCCCTTCACTGTTGGCCGCAATATATCTACGACAGCGCATGCAGATTTGTCTCTGTCACTTCGGTGACTTCCCAAGACGAAAGGACTCTTCGAGACGCATTTGCGGGAGGAGTAATCATGAACAGGTTGCTTGTGCTACGCGGTCTCCTGGCTCATGGTATTTTCCAGTTCGCTTTGTCGGGGAAACGCTGGAATGTCGATTACGGTCTGCATCCCTCGAGGTGTATGATGGCTGTGCCTTTCAGAGCCAGAGGAGTACCGTCGGAACATGCCGAGTTTGGTCATCCAGATGTGGCCGTGACTTTGACGTGTCTGAGCTATTATTACTGAGCTTCGTTTTGAAAGGTCTTTCCAAACAATCAGCCTTTACAAAGAAGCATCAGCTTATCTCCTTTTGCCATACCAACCTTCGATACTGCTGACAAGAATGTACGTGCACAAAGAATGCTTGTCCGCGGGTCAGACGACACGTGACTCGGAAATAATGCTCCTAGATGGGGTTTGTGGTTTGGCATGGGCTGGAGGTGAGTTTGATCTAGTCAGTGCACCGGATACGGATCCTGGACCGAGTCAATGTATCTCGAGCTTGGGGCAGGTTCTTGAGAAGTTTGGCGAGGATTGGGTTTACAGACCCACGGCAACTTCACACGTCCTACGAAGATTTGTAGGGGTGATATGATTAGTCTTACAAGAGCCTCAGAGCCCAAACACAAACGGAAAGAGGAAGACTATCAAGTCTCAGGAGGCGTTTTATGAAGGACTCAAATGGATCTGAAGGGTCCCAAGGAGATAACATTGGACAAAAGGGTGGTGCACCCAAAGGAGCAGATTACAGGCTATACTCTAAGTCTCACTGGCGTTGAGAGGTATGAGATAGACAAATCAAGCTGGAAAATTACAACGCTGTTTACCAGGATCAGATCATAGATGAAAGGTTAATTCTTATTGAGACAAAGCTAGTGGGGTAGTGATATTGTAACTAAGATGTACAGTACCAGACCTTCAAGTAAGGCTAGCAATCCCACACTTCTCCTTGTACATGACGATGTACCGGCGAGGGGGAAAGGGCTTGTCATCGAGCTCGCCCATGCTCAAGAGTTTGTGTTCGAACTCTTTTTCCAGCCACTCAGACTCCGAAAGATTGTCGGGCTTATCCGAGTACATCTTGCGAATGAAGGTGTCATAATACGCTTGTTCCGGGCTGTAGTGTTGAGGATAATCGTCGAATTCACGGATCCAGTGGGTCAAAGTAGACTTAGACTTATCACCTGCCTCGGACTCAGCCGGGGTGTCAATGTAGAATTGAGTCTCCCGGCCTTTACACTCGACGATCGCCCCATAGGTTCCAGCGTAATACCGGCGGGGAATTGCTTTCTCCCGCTTCATCTTCATGGCATCGCTAGCAAGCTGCCTGCCGATGCGCATCCAGTTGTCGCCAACTGCCCGATGGTTGAGAAAGACATAAACGATTCGCGAATGTCCTCCCCAGACTCCAGCGTAATCAGCCACGCCCCACTCGGTGTGATCGAGATTAGGTCCCGACCCCCCGGAGCGACGAGACCGGTTGATATTGAAACTAGATTGAGAAGACATGGTGGTGGTGGTGGTGGTGGTGTCATTGAAGGTGTTGGTTCTCTGTTTGAGGGCGCTGTTGTGAAGATGAATTGAGAGCTGAGAGTGTGGAGATAGTTGATTCAGACAGGGTATTCGACAGGATTATATACTCATCGATGGGACCTCTGGGACCTCTGTCATTGACTATACAAAGCTCTAAGTATTGCCTTGTGATTGATGCGTTGAAAGCTTTTACAAATAGGGTCTGAAACAAACGTCCTGAAAGAACTGTCAAAGAACCAGGATGGACTAAGAATCGTGCGTCAATCGAGGGATTCACCCGGCACACGACCTGCTTCCCTGACAGAAAGACAAGGGGGGTCCTCCAGTCCATGCTAGGGCTCTGCCAGACGCGGTGTGGTCGAACAATGGCCTTTCTCTTTGTTTGTAGCCCGCGAATCTCCGGCCGCGTGAAAGATATAAATTCACTGCGTTGTTCCAAGACAAACAAGGCATTTTTCTCCCCTCTTCCTGACATCCACAATGATGTCTTTCACTGTTTATCCTAGGCTTCTTCATCTGACTTTCTCTTTCCCCCGAACAACGCAGAGAGCGGGAGAAGCCGGTGGTGATGGTGTCGCTAAAGTATGAAGCTTATCCCCTGGTCACCTGCAGAATATGTCAGGCTCACCACCACCGTCCGGCGCATCGTCAAGACTATTACTATCATCAGGAGACTACTGGACTGTGGACTTGCATGTAAGAAATCGGTGGAGTCGTTTGTAGGCGGCGGCTCTTCAGTGAGCACACTCTCCGAAAGCACTATCGGCTGGAGCATATGCTGCTATCCCGAGTCTATCACTGATGCCTCTGTAGATGGCGGCCAGATAGCCCCAATTTCCGTTCTTTTCACTCTCGCCCGGTAGAAATGCACGCGTGAAGTTTACATTAGAGGTCAAAATAGAAGAACATCAAGCTTTCATTGTACAACACAACTTATGTAACTGAAGATATCATGACAATTGGCTAGCTAAGCCTGCGAGACGAGCGCACCCTTCCAGTTCTTCCAGAACTTGCTGGCCGAAGCGAACATAACAGCGATGACGCCCATCACCTCGTCATCCTCGTCGCAGTCCGCGGTTACTCCGACATAACCGTGACCGAGGTGCTTTTCCTCCACCTCCGAGTGCTCCAAACTGGACACATACTCGGGAGGCGAGGCCAGCTCCACCTTAACCATCTTGGCCACGCTGGGAGTGCCCCTGGCATCCATGGCGAACAGCATATACCAGCCCGGCAGGATAACACCAGGGTCCTCAGGGAGACGAGCACTGTATTGCAGATGACCCACGCGCTTGAGGGTGTCGAGCGGAATGCGACGCTGGTCGGTGTTGACCGTGTGGGTGGTGGTTCCGACACGAACCAAGGAGGCCGTCTCGATGAAGTCGTCGGTCTTGAATCGGATCTGCTCGCCGACGGTGACGCGGTGTCCGTCCGAGAGGCTGGTGATCTGAGGCCGACGAGCCTTGTTGCCGTTCTCATCGAACAGGTAGGGGGGCGAGTAGATCTCCGCGTCGTAGTGGTTGGCCGTGCAGTTACCACACAGCCCACCGCCACCGTTCAGCACCGTCGCGTCGGGCAGCAGCATGGAGATACTGTGATAGACGCGCTTGATGTTATTGCGGGTGAGCTCGTGGAAGGTGTCGGTGGCCGGGTCGTAGAGCTCCGGGGTGAAGTTGATGTCGCCCTCGTGGAAGGGCTTGCCCCAGCTCTGCCCTCCGGCAATGAAGACGGTGCCATCGGGCAAGACCACGGAGGTGTGGAAGACACGCTTGTAGTGCATGCCCCCTTCGCGGTCCCCCCGGGGACCCTTGCCCGCGACCACCACCTCTGGATCCTTGTAGGCATCGCCCAGGGTGATGAGGTGGGCGTTCTTGGAGCCGTTGGAGCCGTCATAGTGACGCTGACCGCCGAAGGTCAGGATCTTGCCTCGCGTGGCATCGTACATGACAGCGCTGCCGGACATGGAGTCGTGGTCCTGGCCACGCTCGCCGGCCTCTTCCCACGAGCCCCGGACGCGGCCCTTGCGATCCGTGTCGTCCACATTGTACCAGTGCATCATCTTGCTGGGCCCCGCTTGAAACACGCTGGCCTTCTTCCAGCCAAATAGCCAGCCGTGGTTGTCCGCACGCCAGGCGCCCAGACGATCATCGGTCATCATGGGCTCGACCTTGGCGTTGCTGCGCGTCTCCCAGTGGGCGTTGGGGCCGGGGTAGTAGACCTCGCCATTCTTCTCGACCTTGTCGCCGCCACTCCAAGACCCTCCGATGACGAAGATGCGACCGTCGGACAGGGTGGTAGACGACTGGTAGCCACGGGGAGTCTGCATAGCGGGGCCCTTGTTCCAGGCGGTGCCATTGTACACGCTGGTGCGACCGGAGTCGGCGCCTCCGCTGACTACGATGTTGCCCTCCAGGTCCATCGAGGTGCCGGGGCAGAACATATCGTGCTTGGTCTCGAAGACCTCACTCTGCGTGATGATGCCGCTGCGGTTCATGGTGGTGGTCAGCGTCTTGCCCCCCGGGGAGGCGAAGAACTGATCGTCCGCCCAGGCCGACCACATGATGATGTTTCCATGCTGCTCGACGGCCGAGGAGACGGGGACAATGGGGAGATCTAGCGTGGGTCCCCAGACACCCCCCTTGCTGGGGTCGGCCTCGGGGAAAGTGCCTTCGATGTAGGCGTAGACGGCCATGTTGGAGATGGAGATCTGTCCGTTTCTCGTCTGATTGTGGGGACGGGACTCGGTCTCGGCCACCAGTTTGACGAAGCGCGCCGGAGTCGGGATGAAGGCGGACATCTTGGGGCTCTTGTTGGACCCCCAGGTGCCGTAGGCGACCTCGGTCCAGTTGTGTCCATCGGGCGACAGCAGGATACGGTGCTCGCCAATCTGGCCCTCTTCGGCCTCGAGGCGCGGCAGCATGGTCACGCCCGAGACATAGTGTTCCTTGCGCAGGTCAATGCGGATCCAGGACGGCTCTTGCTCGTTGGGACTGCTGCTCCAGTAGCGGTCGGTGCGGTCGTCGATGGCGTACTCGCAATTGTGGGCCTTGTCCCGGCTGGAACACTGCACCTCCCAGTTCTCGGAGGCATCGTCGGAATTGGTCTTGGGGATGAGGTACGAGTCCGCCGGCGGGGACTGATACTTGACGATGCCCGACGACTGCTTGGCAATTGCAATCTCATCCGCCTCGGAGGACTCGTAGGCATACTCAGGGGGCATGAAGGCATTGACTGCCACTGGCCCCAGCAGGAGGCCTGCCGCCAACCGGAACTTCATGTTGAGTCAAAAAGATGGAATGCTGTGGTGGACGGGGAGAAGCTGCAGACGAGACGAGCGTGTTGTGAATATATACCCCTTCGGTATCTAACTTACCTCCTCTGATAACTCATCCGCAGCCAGACTGGGGGGAATACGGTCAGTGGCTGTGATACCAGTGGGTGCCAGTGGAGATTCAGCTCGCCACCGACACCATGTCGAGGCAGAGATCGACCGTGATGTGACTGATGTGACTGATGTGACGCTGGTGGGGAGATGATTTCCGGTTGTGAGATGGGATATTGATAGCCGGATCTCGATAATGCCGAGCTGTGCTGAGAAATGCCCAGAAGGTGCAGTTGCAGGCACTCGGCAAACCTGCTTGGATCTGGGAAGTGGATCTTGCCAAGCCTGCCCGAGCGGACGGTTCGGTCCCTGGACTCCGAGAGCGGCGCCATGGTTCCGATTCAGCGTACACATGGTACTCCTTCTGTCGATGTAGATGTAGATGTAGATGTATATGGATATGGATAAGTAGGGTAGGGACTATATCAAGTATGGCCAATCATACACCATCAGTCCTGCCTCAACCCATTTCTCGCTCAGCAGCCTCAGCAGCCTCAACAGCCTAGCAGCCTCAGCAGGATCGCCATCGATGGCCCCACAGTTCAGCTCCGCACAACAAATGACGCAGTCGGCGTCCAAGCGATGCGATCGACAGTTCGTCACCGCAGCAAAGTGGAGAGATCGACATCCACCACTTCGATAGATCAATTTCGCGCGTGTGGCCCGCTGCTGCAGACCACTCCGCCATCCACAAATGACCATTCACTTGATTACGGCGGATCTTCTTTTCAGCTGGGGGGTATGACGAAGACGGCATTGCCAATGGAGGGGTTGTGAGAGGTCACCGTGCGAGACACCGGATGTGCACCCTCAACTCAGCTGCCAGCTGGAGCGGCAGACATAAAAGGTTCTTCAGGGCGGGTCTGCTCCTCGGGCCTTGCACAGACAGAGCGACAGACCATCGTCACTATGCGGGCCGCCACAGAGAAGGTTGACACCGACAACATCCAGGGGAGCATCTGGCCCCGACTGCCCAAGCACTTTGAATCCTACTTGTTTTTCAAGATCACCGACAAGGCCAAGTTCCGCAAACACCTGCGGACACTGCTGGACAACCAGGAAATCACCACCGGCACGCAATGCGCGGACCACCTACGCGGAGTGGGAGAGTTCGAAGAGGCCTCCGCGCAAGCCCGACGCGATGTCCCCGAGCCCTATCGGGTGCCCTTCACCGCGGTGAATGTGGCCTTCACCCATCTGGGTCTGCTGAAGGTTGGCCTCAAAGTCCCCCCTCCCCCCTCCCCCCTCCCCC